ACACGATATCGTACAAAAGTTAAACAAAATTTAACTTTATACGACGTCGGACGATTAGTTAAAAACATCGGACAAAAATTGGTGTCAAAATATTTCGACCAATAGGAGCACCCGTCGGATCGTCGTGTCATCGGATTTCGGATGCATGAGACTCCGGCTTAAACTTTTGACTTTGTTGTACTTTTGTCATTGCGATGTGGACAATATGTCTCGTCAGAAGACATATTGTCCAGAGCGAAAACAAGACAAGTTTGTCTTGTTTTTGTCTCCAAATCGTGTTTACTTTTTGTCGCCTTGGTCTGGACCCAGCATAAAAAACAATTAAAATTAATAAAATATCCTAGCTATAAAAAACAGCTTGCGGTAGTCTGTTGTATCCATAGAGAAAGCATAATATTTAGCTTATAACTGGCTTATAAAACAATAAACTTTTGATTTCTAACCAAAAATTTTCCTGACGTGTGATAATCAAAGGCCAAAATGACATACCTCGCAAATTTTGAAGTATAATTAGTGGAAAAGTCAAAAGTTTGTTAACTTTTTCCACTAATTGAAAATTACTACCACTAATTATGACGTTCTGAATGCTTACATTAAAATTAGGTGAAACTTCTACGGCTAATTGAAACTACTAATTGGTTCCACTGATTTCGAGGTTCTTTCAACTCCTCAATTATCTAGTTACCAACAAATATTATTGACTACCAATTTTTTGGATATCAAAAGCTATACAGGGTCCGGCAATAGTGCGTCGGGCATCTGTTGCTCCTAGAATAAAAAACTTGAGAATTTTGTTTAAGTATAAACCTAAAGCATGTATGAGGATGTATTTCCGGAAAATATTTTAACTTCTATAGGGTGGCTCAAAAAAGTGTGAGTGGATCTGGATGATTTTTTTTAAATGGAACACCCTGTATATTATTGCATTTTTGGCTTCCTTTCAGATCACTTTACATAATCCTAAGATATGAGTAAATCTATTTCGATAGTTTCAGAGATATTAAAAAATAAATCAAAAATATATTTTTTTCAAAACTTCTTAAAAAAATATTAAAAATACAAGAACTGTTCTGAAATCAATACTATAATAAATATTTACTTTAGAGGGTCAGTTCTTACTTTGCTATAAATATGGTAATCGTAAATCATACAGGATGTTCAATATTTTACGCCAAACTTTCAAAAATACAAAATAATTTTTGTTCGTTTTTTTAACACCCTGTATATTCTTTTTTTATTTGATAGAGAATTAAAAAATGAACATTTTTTGTATTTAAAGTATTTCAAAAATTTTAATAGTTTTCCGGATACACGCAGTATTATTTCATATGGCGCTTTCAATGGTAAAATACGAGAGAAAAATCATTGGGTGGCTTTGATAAAAATTTACTGTGGAAAATGCCGTATGAAATACAAAACCGGGAATATCTGCAAAATTGTTAAAAATTTTGAACTACTCTAAATGCAAAAAATGTTCATTTTTTAATTCTCCATCTATTGAAAAAATAATATACAGGGTGTTCCATTTAAAAAAACAAAGAAAAATTACTTTATATTTTAGAAAGTTTGGCGTAGAATTTTGAACATCCTATATGATTCACGATTTCCATATTTATAGTAAAGTAAGGACAGACCATCTAAAGTAAATATCTAATATAGTTTTGATTTCAGGACAGTTCTTGTATTATTAATAATTTTTTTAAGAAAGGCTAAAAAATATATAATTTTTATTTGTTTATTAATATCTCTGAAATTATCGAAATATATTTACTCATGTCTTAGGATTATGTAAAGTAATCTAACAGGAAGCCAAAAATGCAATAATATACAGGGTGTTCCATTTAAAAAAAATCATGCCGATCCACTCTCACTTTTTTGAGCCACCCTATAGAAGTTAAAATATTTTCCTGAAATACATCCTAGTACATACTTTAGGTTTGCACTTAAACAAAATTCCCAAGTTTTTTATTTTAGGAGCTACAGATGCCCGACGCACTATTGCCGGACCCTGTATAAATACCTTAATATAGAAATAAGAAGCTTTCGGACATGTCATATATTTTTCTACTTTCTTTAAAGCCCCACGGACGCGACGGTGCAATACCAATAATTGGCAATTACACACAAATTTATGGCGGTATATACCGAGGTATCTCACCGGAAATCAGGGCTATATTCCGTTCTAAAACCATGTTAACCAGGCTGGTAAACAACGGTAAGATCCGGTTCCTGGGAAATATCGGTAAAATATGGAAGCTGTTTAGTTTAATAGCAGAAATGTCAATTATTGATATTTTTATAGATTTCTTTTTTTTAATTTCTGGCTTAATTCATCTTTTCTATACAATTTTAAGTTTAACCAGAAAAGATTAGATACAAATATGAGTTTCCCATATACATTCTATTTAAAATAATTGAGTTAACATCTATTTCCGGTATAAACGAAAGTAGTAAAATACATAAGTTTTAATTGTTCTCAGTGATATTAATATTGTGGTATTAGAGTGAGAAAAAACGGCGTCAAGTTAGCTCATTGGTTAGTTAATGATATCACCATTTAATTTTACATACACTGTCGGCAAGACCAAGTTTTGAGCCGGTATTTAAATGTCTAGGAGCGTATCGCTGTGGCGATCTCGTAAGTCGGAGAGAGAAAAATACGCTGTGTTTATTAGATAATCACTTAATCCGACGCTTTATTTTATATGCATGGGAGAATATTTGCTCTTCTCTTTGTTCAGTACTTCTTATACACAATCAATCTTCAAAATTCACAATAAATATATTAGAATAAATTTCCCCTCAAAGTTTCGGATACACTACAGTAAGCAGTCAAGCGATATTTTTGACTAACAAGCTTTTACAGACCTGTATAACTTTAAAAAAAACTATGATTGTTCAGAATATTTAGAGTGATATGTGATTTTTCATACTTTTTTAAATAAATATTTTATAACACGCATTTAAACTATACATCAATACTTTCTAGAAATTTTAATCCTTAACAATAGATACAAATCGAAATAATGGTTTGGTTTATCGCCAATTAAAAATTGAAAATACTTACATAATTATTGACTAAAGGCTTAAGAGAGATATTATTTTTATATAGTCAGTATAGCGAAAGCATAATTATTTCGACAGACGACATACAAGAAATAACATAAAAAATCAGACATAAAGTGTCACTGTATATTCTTTCGCTGAACAGTCTATATTTACAATATGTCTACAAAAATTGTCCAATAAGTACTTAATGGTGTTATATCTCGAAAATCAAACTGAACATCCGATTTGTCATAAAATTAAGGAACTAAAAATGATCAGTTCTAAGACCCTACAGACTTTTTTCTGCGCAGAGTGTTGAAAAATTAAAATTAAACGGTACCAAGTTAAGCGTCTTTATTAAATATATACTATAATCCAATAAAAATGGTAAATACACGATATAAAGAAAACAAAGTATGATACTGCGCACAGTCTATGCAGGTTAGTTAATACGTCATAGGTGATATCGCCACTCGACATCACTGGTCGGCACGCTCCGCGCGCCAATTTCAAATCTGATAACTCATAATAAATGTGAAAGTGACTTTTTGAAACGTCAAGCTCAATGATTTGACATAACCAATGACTAAAGAATACAAGGACATGTAACGCCCATATACGGACTGCAGCAGAATTTGTTACGTTAGACGCCATCAAATTGGAGTTTACGGATGAGTCACCACCTCGCCAACAGCGACAATTTTAGCGATTTTTAATAATTTGTTGTGTGTAGTGAACTTTGTATAAACTTTATTACAATGGTGATGTGTTCAGCTTTCAAGTGTAAAAGCCGCAATGATAAGAATGAGCCAGGAGTTGCATTTCATAAGTAAATAAACAGTCCACTCCACCTTTTTAGCGTTTTCTTATTGAATTTGGTAATTATTTTTCTGATACTTTATGTACTTGATATGTGCTAATCGTCGATACTAGTTTTGTACCTTTTGTTAACATTTTAATACGTTTTTTTCCTAATTAATTAGTATGATAGCACCGCCTCCACCATAGGCGTAGTCAAAACATTTATCAAAAATATAAATATCCCTTCAAACAGCTAAGTTAAGAAAAATATATGGCTACGGTACTGTTTGGTGCCATGGTAACAATTTGGTCTCGGGTGTTATATGTCCTTGAATTCTTTAGTCATTAGACATAACTCTTGTAATTATGTCCTAATTCTTCGCTACTTTAGGTCTTTTTTTTATTAGTAGCAATTGAACAATATAGATTTTTTTTGTATGGCGTCACAGGTGATATGCGCAACTGAACGATATTGGAGCCGCTATCGATCATACCTTGTTTTCTTTGTATTATGGGGTAAATACCGTATGATTGAAAGAAAAACAGCGCCCAGTTGGCTGGGAAATGACGATCGATGACATTTTCCATATAAATTTACATATAAAATGACAGCGATCTTTATTTCATAGCCATCGCTGACGCCGTTTTTTTTTTCGATGATACGGTATGTCATTTCAATGAGATTTACTGTGTCTATCATCGATCATACGGTATATCATTTCAATGAGATTTAGTGTGTCTATCACTGAAGTATTAGATTCGTTCCAACCGAACCGAGAACCGATTCTGGGACGGTAATTTCTAGTCGCCCACTTATTGCTTGAAAAGTTTGATCGTTTGTCAAGATTAACAAATGAATTGACTGATAGGAAATTACCGTTCTAGGACGGTTCTCTTGTCCGGTTGGAACAAACATATTGTATTATAAGGATTTGTGTGAGACAAAGTAAAAAAAATGATACACCGATTGCGTCAAACTATTCTCACGAATAATATCCATCGTTGAAAAAATTTACAATCAATCATGATCCTTAAATCGTTTAATTTAAAAAAAGTATTGGTAGTCACATAAATTAACTACAAATATATTTATACCGGAATTATGTAACGTTAACTTTATATTTCTAAATTTCTATACCAAACAAGAACTTGTTCTGTTTAATTCTTTTTATTAAAAACAATGATAGTTAAAACTTACGAATTCTCAAAAGTAATAATGAACTTATAAGCAGTATTAATACTAACTTTTCCACTCTGGAAAAAGTATAGATCATATTTTATTTGGTCAATCACATTAAAATGGAATAAATAAAAAAACAGATAATGAATATTTAGATAGACCTAAAAAACTTTAAACCCTGTATCTTTTATGGATTATATCTGGAGAAAAAATAATGTAGATTTACTAAAACGTATACGTACACACAGATAGCAAGAATGGATTTCTTGGTATTTTAATAATAGAATAAAGAGTATACTAGGTGTTTTATTAATGAAGAAATCGGTGAATGTCTTATATTTTTCAATAAAATAGACTAGAAAAAATAATTATTGCTTTGCTAATTTATTATTATCTGTGGTCTAAACTGTGTCAATTTTAATAGAGTCCGATTTCTTCACCAAATGTGAAAAAAGCGTTAACCATTCAAACACCGTACAACATTCATAAAAATTCTATAAGTACAGTCTAAACTTAGAATATTAAGCTTTTTCAAATCAATCAATACAGGTGCGTACAGATACAGCAAAGAAGGCGAATGAACGGTTGTCAAATACGTTTAAGACTATACTGCGGCTGTCCTATATAAGCAATGAGAGTACCGAAGGACAGAAAAGCAAGTTTATATGGTTTGACGACATAAGTTCATTCTTGTTTATGGGATGGAAATAGTACACTTGCGCATACATGCTATTTTCCCTTTGGTCTAATGTTGTCGAGATGGGTTATCAATTGAATTCTGTTCTTAAAATATACGGAAATACCATCGAATACGTGGCAATACGCACTTTTAGTTTTCACTTAGGCCGGCGCCATTAGTCTTTTTCCTCCTATTATGTATTTATTTTATCTAGTATCTGAAGGCCGGATCCGCAGGCCGGGCCTTTCCGTGCATGGGGAGCTAATCCCTTTGGCTGAATTTGTTCGCCTTCGTTTGCTATATCTGTACGCACTTTACAATATATCAAAAACTAACAAGTAGTCAACTTTAAATGATGAGTTTTAACACCAATTAAAATACTCTTTTACGGTTGGTTCGTACTTCAGATATTAGTCCTAATCTTATTAATTTAAAGAACTCTCGTTTGTACTCTTACCGTAAAAATATCTTAGTGTATACTTAGCTCGTAGATGAAACATTATATTTGATACCAATTAAACTTTTCAACAAATTCATTGTTGCCAACCATCGACATATTCGGCGCCGGGCTGACTAACAGGAATTTAAATTTCCCGCTGGGGATTCAGGTCGTAGCTCTGCAGTTAAATATTCTTCTAAAAAAACTGTGCGCCACTGACTTTTTTCTCTTATGACCACAGTTTTGTAGGCCGTTTAACGCAGGTTAAAAGTTGTAACTTGATATTTTGTTGATTTCGGTCTCCTGGATGAGACAAATCCAATCTTTTAGCACTAAAATATGTAGCGTAACTTGTATAATATAATAACTTTTACCCTCAAAATGCCATTCGAATCGGTAAAAGCATTTTAAAGAAAATTATAACAAATCGAAAAAAAAAATAAGACTCTAGCTCCCTGTAGCTACAAAACAAAGCAGAATCGGACCTATGTTGATATAAAAAAAATATCCCTACGAGCGATGGCATATTTTTTAAATACCTTTATTACAGAAAAATTAAAGTTTATAACAAAGTGACTACAAATTCACTTATTTGAAAATAAAACCTAATCATTACCAGATCAATGAATAGATACTATAAGTCAGTAGCGGCTCGTCAGGGTAGGCCTCTGAGGCCGCGCTTCGGTTATATTTAAAATAAACGATTTATTTTTTATATCTAGTTTTTTTATTTAATCCCAGTATAACTTGTTACAATTCACACATTCTGGAAAAAGTTTTCGCTCACCAGAGGCACACAGAGGCGAAACAATTCTAGCTTGGAAAGTTCGAATTGCCTACCTATTTAAGATGCAGCGACGATTTGATTTAAGATCATGTGACGCCGATGACGAGACGGCCGACGACGGGGTACGAATTCTCGATCGTAGGGCTGGGGCGTGATTGAGGCGCAATATTTGGCGCTTGGGTGTGTTTTCAGTGGTAGTTTATATCATCTGACTATTGAAAAATGCCACAAAGTCTCGATCTCGTATTCAAGACTCAGGAAGTTAAAGTACCGTTGGCTGGCTGGTCAACTGAAAGTCGCTCAGTGTGAACGGAGTCTAAACCATTTACCAACCGTCAACATGAATCTGTCAAATTGTGCAGAATCTGTCTGTGCGCAAATTAATTTAGAATTAGCGTTAGTCCTGAGTATACAAAATATACCATATTTCTTAGGACCTTTTAGGACTAGGGCTAATGTTTAGGAACCATTGATGCTCTCATGCAATTATTTGGATCCATATTCTTTATATCAAGAATAGTATTAGGATTAAGATCGGAAGTATAAACCAGCCGTTATTATTATTTGCTATTCGTAAACGACCAAGCAAAAATAAATTAGGTTTTATGGCGCCATAACTGACCACACAAAAATATTACTCAACGTAGACCAGACAGCTTGCTCCATAAACACTACCCAAAGTAAAAAGCATCGGAACTTCCAACAACAACACCGGATTCCTGGGGTTTAGTCCGTCTTCGTTCTTCGAAGAGGGAGCTTTAATCCTAAAACGACCTTTTGAGCTTTTCTTATATATTCTTCGCCGCTCGTTCAGTGCTAGAAATTGTGGTTTAGGCTCGAAATGGAGCTTGAAGCAACTGGTCAGTTCAGGGCGTCATAAATCAGGAAACCTATAAATCCATTCCAGTTCAAGTACCTTTGTATACACTCATCGGCACGAAAAACGGGCACCTTAAGATGTTTAACCGTTTTTCGTGCCTGTGAGTGTATAATCGCGGTTAAATTTCACTATAAAATTAGTAATCGTTAAAACAGTCTGTTTCTGGGAAGATTTCGACAGATGACATCCAAAAAAATACAGAAAATAGACACCTTTTATAATCATAGATCCCCTCATTGGGCAGATTATATTTAATTTAACCAAATTACAATGGAAAATAATGCATTTCTGCAAGCGAATGCATTTTACCGAATAACACTTAGTGAAATGCCATAAGCCGCGAACATTTTGACAGGTCAATTCAAAGACTCTGAAGAAGAATTACACACAAGAATTCCTTATGTTATTTTTCTTTAGTTTGCTGTTTGCACCCACCATGAGAGATCACATTGTGAAACAATAATATCGTTGATTGAAAGAATTAGGAAGATACGCATTGATTTCCCCTTACATCTCAAGTGCTGTGCAGTGGAGCCTCTACTAGTTCTGCAGCCAATGCATAAAATATTCATTTTTCTAATTCAGCTAGAGAAGGCATATCCAAGACGGTGTGGAACTAAAAGCGACAGTGTTGCCACATTAAAATGTGTAATATCTGTAATGCGTGTGACGAAAATATATTCGGATGAAAAACCCGCGTTTTTATTCGTGTAGAATAAACAGCAAAAATAAAAATGCTTTTATATGTACTGAATATTTCGTATGATTGAAAAAAGTCGTTTAGTTGACTTGAAAACGACAACTATTGATATTTACCATAATATTTTACATATGAAATAACAGCGATCTTGCTTTCCAAGCCAACTCTGACGCCGTTCTTTGTTTAATCATATAATATTATATTAAATTGTTTAATGAATAAGAAAATCCATATTATTAACATACTGTGCCCAAAAACCGTAAATTTACGAATTAATGCCGAGACCCCATTAGCCAACACGCCACGCCACGGGCGATTCGTCTGTCCCAGATCTCACCGACGCGACGTGAGGTACGGCGTGTTGTTCCCCGCTTGCCTCTCTAGTCCCGCAGCTATCTACTTTTGTACTTGATGTAGGGATGTCCCAAAAATAAAATAAGTCGATATTTTGAATCGATTCAACATTGGATATAACTAGATCCAGAAAAAATCGGCAACAAAAGATTGGTCTTATTAAATATCGATATTCGATTCTGAATATATTGGTGTACTGGTATTATGATTATAATCTAATATCGGTATGGGTATTGATACTTCTAGTCTTTCGTAACCCTACTGATAAATTTTTTAACTCTAACAAAAATTTCAGGCGTGTTAACACGTGTTACAAAATGTGTACACCCATTGCCACGTCGCAACACGTGGGATAGCGTGGCGTAGTGTGGAGTGGCGTCGGAGTTGGCTAATGGGGTCCCGGCTTAATTCATTGTTCTGGCAACACTGTCTCCGGCAACCACCCACTCTGTCGACTGAAAGCAGAACTACGGTACGGTATTCTTTATCCGCAACGCTGTAAACAACTATCACCGCGCAGCGGCGCAGAGCTAAACTCCTTTGAATAAGAAGACTAAGGAAGGAGCATATCAAAAATCTTAGGTGCACCGCGATGGGCCTCAAATATGGCCGACTTAAATTCCGGTTTATCAGTGTCGTTCTAATTTTATTTAAAAAATGTAAAACTATGATGTAGGGTAGACGTGGGGTAGACTCAATAATTTGTTGTTTTATTTTACGTTGTGAATAAATGTTGGTAGTTAATTAAAATTGTTTCAAAAATATATAATTCTAATAAAAATAGATAAGTTATAATAAGTATTTATTAACACAAACATCCGATACGCTACTGAAGCAGGTAAGTCAAATTAACGTATCTAAATTCTTTGACATCTAATCTTTGACAAGTAATAAATAAAAACTAAAATGCAAGAAAAATATATAATTTAGTTAATTTAAGTGAATTTCATAAATGATTGGTTTACTACACGTATGTATATTATATAGTCACTTACTAGCGAAAAGTTGTTCCATTATTACACTCAATTTTTTCCGAGATCTACCGCACGCTACACAACCAACTATTTTAGAGTCTTTTTCGATAAATCACGATAGTGTCACTGTTAATTTAAGTTCTGCCACAATTTCCATCTAGATTTACTACCTTTATACAACTATCAGTAGTAGAATAAATAATAAATAACATAAAATAAGCTCCGTAAAGACTGACAAATCCACAAAATTTCAAATCAAATTCAAATGTGTCAAATGAATCGTCAAACAGAGCTGTCAAGGATCCCCACCCTAGAGTGTATTTTCCGCCCACCATGCATGAATACATGTATAGCATTATGCTCCTTCCTTAGTCTTCTTATTCAAAGCTAAACTCAGATAGGTTGACTAGCGGCGAAGGTATCGCCATCAAAGTCTCGGACAGGTCTTGTTCCACAAAATCGCCCGTAAGGTAGCGCATCTTCTTATTTCTCCAATCAACGATAATATACAAAAATCTCGAATCTATATTCAAATTCCGTATGGAATATTTTACCAGCCTTTGCTGATACCAAAATAAACTCACATCAATAATTCCTTATCTTTTCTTAAGTATGTAAATATAACTCAACCTTACCTAGTAGGATCTTCTATATAGTCATCAGGAACACTAAATAATGTGTTTGAAATATCATTTCTAAATTCAAACTCTTGGAATGTAATTTTTGCTGTAACAGTGGGTAAAATAGGCAACTCTACTTTAACCGGAAACCCATTAGGCAATTTAAATGTAATAAAGTCTCTGAGTTTTGAAAAATGCTTAAAAGGTGCTATTACTTCGAGAACATTTAAAAGCATTTCTACTGATAGCGGGAAATCTGAGCTCTAAAAAAAGTAATAATAATGTAATAATAATGTAAAAAAAATGTAATAATAATGTAATAATAATGTAAAAAAAATGTAATAATAATGCATTTGTAAAAATCAAACTTTTTACCATCGCAATAGTAGCTTTAAAAGATTTAGACGATTCTTTATAGACTAAATCTCGACCCAATCTTGGATAATTATTAATTTCTGCATTAATGTAATCATCCCATGTAACATTTTTTTCGGGAGGGGGAATTAGGCTTGTTCTTCTGACTGGCTATAAGATTCCTTTGTTAGTTATTTGAAATACACATTACTAAAGATTATTGGAAAAACTGGAAATCGTCCGATTTTCACAAAAATTGGTATACACCATATTTTGAGGTCATACATTACGAATCTCAAGTAATTCCAGAAAATAATTTTATTTCAACATTGATTTTTTCTTAATAGCAGTCCTATGAAGTAATATTTTCAGTATATCATTATTATTATTATAGTTTATCTATAAGTTGCTCTTGATTGTGGAGAGAAAAATAGGAAAAATTTTACTGAAAAACACTTTTCTTAACAAAATTAACAAAGAAAATCGTCACCAAAACTGACAAGATGGAAACTTGACTTTCGTATATCCTTCTTTCTATCTCCTATGCAATGAGAGAGACAAATATAAATCTAGAAATCTGAAAATTTGCAACGTTGCCAAATCTTGTATTTTTTCAGGTGATTAGGAATTTTAAATAAATTACCTATTACAAGATCAGCAGTGGGATTCTGTAAGCTCGGTAGCAAGAAATTTCCTGTCTAGCCTATGCTATTTGTATACGATTGATGTGTCACTAAACAGGAAATATGTTTACAGAATCGGGCCCCAGACTATTTATTTATAGCCACAAAGTTGCACAAAAAAGGTTTTGATTGCATTGGTTTCAACTTCTTCTCTGTTTTTTTTTAAACATTAAAATTTAATAATATATAAAAAACAGATCAGAAAACTCTTTCGTGCAACTTAGTGGTTATAAACAGTCAAATCTCATTGGTAAAATAGCAGCTATATGGGTAGGGGCCATGATACACAGAAAACAAGGTATGATATTGCGCAGGTTGGTCACTACGTCACAGGTGATAAACGGTTCCTCCGGCAACCGCCTTTTGTAATCCCAGAGGGAGCAAAAAAAAACGGTTAGTATTAGCATTACAACTTATAACAATTAGGTTTAGCCATAACCAACATGACAGACAGGCCAGAGACATCGATTTGTGACGTCACCGCACCAGTCCAGCTTTTGTATTGTGCCATATGGTACTGCATATAGTTTTTGCATAAATAATAGTATTAATTGATAGTTTTGCCAGATATAAATATGAAAAATATAATACAGAAAGGTATTAAAAAATAACATTAACTTTTTATCGAGTTAAACTAATTGAATAGCATTAAAATTTAGATCAAAAGCACGAATATTAATATGAAATAAACTACAGCATAAGATGAACAAAATAAAATCTAGATAATAAAAAGCGTGTCCTAAAATTGCGTTAGCGAGTATTTAGCAACTAGTAATAATATACCTTGCGATAAAGTTTCCAAATATTAAAAAATTTGAAAACTATACGTTTATCGACAAGTTAAGAAAATGTATTGTATATGATAACGGCAGAATACATTTTAAAGTTTAATTAAAAATAATTGTAAAAATTTGCCTAACATATTTAAAAAAAGTGGATATCAGATAGAATTAACTATTAACATTAAGTAATTTGTAGTTCGATGTTCATCAAGTAACCATCTCCATAAATCGTAAATAAAAAGATAAAGATATCATTTTTTTTATATAAAATACTGAAATAAAGTACAAATTCATTTAATTTCTTTAAAATATATTGCCATTTCATAATAATAACAATACTTTTCAATATTTATTTCATCTTGAATTTCCAAATCTTGTTTTCTTTCATCAGGACGTTTTCTCTTTATGGGAACATGCACAGAGGGTCCAAAACAGGGTTGATTTGGAAAAATTGTAGACACAGCATGTTCTGTAGGTTTTGGACGTGACCTAGTTACAGTTAATATTGTTGGGAAAGAGAATGTAGAGAGATCCTGAGGGCTTATTATAATTGCTGCTACAAGGCACAGGCACAGAACAATGTCGCGGGATTTTTTATTTCACAAAGTAAAAATAAAGAAACGAAAACTGTTTTACATAAAAATACACGTCACTTACGTTGGTTTAACACTATACACTAACACTAACGCTATTAATTATGTTTTTATATAAATTCCCCAACTTTTTCCTAGCCCAGACACACAGCCGGCATCGCTGGTGTTACTATAATTTTTACCGAAACTATGGTTTTTTTTCGCGGGTAGTATTTATGAATCGGATCTAGATAGTTCACTATTCACTCAAAATTATTTAGTATAATTTTATTAGCAAAGAAACGCGTAAAAACACAGATTTGTTGTGAAACTAATGAAAACAATTGGTTTGTTTACGACTACTAATTCTGGACCACTTCGGTAGAACTGTCAAAACAGTCAGGCCTTGAATATGACGTTAGCCACGGTTTAGCATTCGCAACGTTGCTTTAAATGTCAGAAAAACATAACCCAACATTTTCAGGGCCCGAATTCTGTAACTTAGAAAACGCTAAGCGCTTTTAGACGCTCAGCGAATATGACGTTAATTTTCGCATAGCGCGCATTTAACTACCGATTTGGGTATTCTCATTTGACGCGCTTAGCGTCTTTACTGATTGCGCTAAGCGATTCGAAAACAGATATCTTAAAGGATCGTTTTGCTTGTCGAACTGTCAGTGAAAATTGAAAAAAATGTTATTTTGTGCATTATCTTGCTCTTTAGTGAAAATTACTCAATAAGTAATGAATAATTTACGACTTGGCAGCTATAAATATTGTTCAAAACATCGAAAATGCTGAGAAGCGTCTTCATCATTTCCCTCGTATAATAATAATGACATATCCATAGAAAAATAGGTTGACATAACTCAACAATAGGTTATGAAATTCACGTAATATTGACAATTTTCATTGTTTTATTCACATTAGACTATTAGATACCTGAGAAATTGCAATGCTGTCAATATGTGCTCAACGCGTATCCAGAAAACCATTCGCACGGCAACAAGAATATCAAAATTGACTCCTTAGCGTTCTGCTCATCGAATATATACTTTCGCTTACCGCTTTGAAAGCGTAACGTTTTTTTTATTTTATGTCAAAGTTACAGAATTCGGGCCCAGATTGTTTACAAATTTATTTTAGCAAATTTTCCTCTATTATGCATAGAATTGGTTAAAACCTGATTTTTTATTGAATACCTAACAAAATATGTGCGAGAAAACCTTAAAAATATGAGAAATTAAGAAAAATTCAATGTTGAAATAGTTTTCCGTTTTTCTGAAAAACGGTAAGAGACCGCCAAAAAAAAGTTCAGATTCATAATCTACAACCTCAAAATAGGGTGTACAGTCGTCTGACAAACGGATCTGAAACAACGGGGCAACGGCAAGGGTATCGTAATTTTCTAACATCATGACCAATTTCATTCATAAAATATCCACGAGCGTGCGGGGTTTCATAAAAATATATCAGGAATTTTTATAATATCTTCCAGTAAAGTTTATAATATTATTTTACTTTAAATGTACCTACATTTTGTTTAGTAATTTGCCAAATATAGTAATATTTGTTAAAACGCGTGAACTAATTACAATAAACACAAATCAAGTTAAAGATATAAAACACAATACAATAACACCGCTACTGGATTTTTCAATAGTAGTGACTGTTTCTACTATTCCTAGAGAGGGGCATAAAGTTGGGGGTAATGGCGACAAGACGTGCGAGAATCTCAACCAATCAGACTGGTTGAATCCAGGATACCATGATGAATTTTGTCAGCGTTGCCAGCTTACCCTAAGCGGACGTTATCTTAAGGAAATACTTTACCTTTTATAATAGGCAGAATGAACGAAATCAGTTAATTAGATAAATATACATTATTACAATAAGAACTATGTCAACATATTAGCATATATATAATTATGTATGCTGAAATGAACTAAAATATATTCAATTTATAGGTAATATCCAGCAACTTTGCTTTTCTATAATTAAACGTGACAACATTGACTTTTTTTGCCCGAATTTCTTCCACTGTTTTAGATTCGTTTGTCAGATAATACACCAATTTTTGGTGCAAATCAAACGATTTCCAGTTTTTCCAATAATAACCCTAAATTTACTTACTGCTCCATTCTGATCTAAATTTTGTAAATTTCCTCCCTTTGTAAAACTTTCCAAAATAGCCTTATTTTTCTGTAAATCATCTGAGGATAAATGTTCTCTTCGTTTTCTACTTTCAAGTGATAAGCCATGAACAGAATAAAGTTCTGCATCATATTGTCCTGCAACTAATTCCTAAAAAACAAAAAATTAACTAGCAATAAAAAATATTTATTTATATTTTTATACAGGTAAAAAATGTTTATTTTATATATCTGTTTTAAGAAAATTAAATGCGTAATTTGTAAAGTTACTTTTTTGTCCTCCCTAAAGATCCATCCACTTTGAGCACGAGCAAATGAAATCCTTTTAGTTGAAATTTGTGCAGCTAAAATATCTGTAGACATTAAAAGATCTACTTCATCCTCAATTTCCATTTCAGATTCCTTTGAAAAAAATAAATAAGTTATATAGCACTATTAAAAACTAAAAGTAATGCTTAAGAAAATATATAATAAAATCTAATTTTAATTTTTCATATTCTGTAAAAAGATTTCTATGATTAAATATACATCTTAAATCTTACTTCATATCTGACTTGCTGATAAACTTTACTGTTGTTGTCCAGGACTGTTAGACTTTCATTTGGTTTAGCATCTCCATTAAAGATAAAAGAAATATCACCTCTTTCCCATCTCATGTCAGAAAAATCAACAAGTGTGGTATCTAATCGAATACTAGCTCCAGATTTATATATCTTACATACATCGGATGGCAGTATTCTTGAGACTAAAGGAACTAAAAAAAAAAGTTATGAATAAAAATATAAAATGATATAGATAATCTGTTACCCCAACTTTGAAAATCCCATTTCAACTCCATATAAAAATCATTTATTTTATTTAAAGCTTCAACTAAGTTAGGTCGTCTTTGTTCCATTTGTTCTCTAGACTGCTGTCTGAATTTTCTGACTAAAGAATATACTGAAAATTTTAAACTATTAAAATAAAAATTGCTAAATAGCTGTTAAATAATATTTCTCAATTAAAAAGTATATATGTACTTGTAGGTCGATTTCCATAACTAACTGCTTCAGCTAATACTGTCCAGCCTAAACCATTCTTTACTTTTACAGGGGCATCATATTTTAAAAGGAGTTGTACACATTCTAAAATATAATGAATTACTCATATTTCACTTTTCATCAAGATAAACCAAAGATAACAAAATTGTTATTAATTCTGAACCTCATATAAGTGAAACGAAAAATACCTTTTCTACCAAGCATAACAGCTAAATGAAGGGCAGTGTTACCTAAAACAGGGTAAACTCATCAACAAGATTAAACGTAAAATGATAATATAAAATATACAAATAATAAAATACAGTGGTAACCTCAAACAATAAATAATAAAAATTTACAAAATAACAATACCATGTTTGTCTTTCGATGCAATATTATGTTTACGTAAGAGTTTCGATAAATTAGGCAAGTCATTTTGAAAAACTGCTTTATGCAACGGATACTCCTCAACTTCTTCCGACATATTTTTTATAACTATTTTATTTTTATAACAATTTGACTTGACATTTTCTATTTTATAATTAAACCAGTGTGAAGATAGCCATTCTTCTTCTTTTTAATTCATTAAAGAGCCTAAGCTACTAGAATTATCTGGTCTGTATTAAGGTAACAAGCCTCACACAGGATTCCCATGAAGCGTATGAGTATAACTCATATCCTGTTTATTGATAAGATATAAAGTTTGATAATTTCTACTTTCAAAAAGTTCAAATTGGTATTTAACGTCTCTTTCTTTTTTGTTTCTTTCTCGTAATAGTCGATTTGACTTGGATTTGACCTAGTAATAGTCTTTGTAATAGTCGACTCTTGACCATGATATAGGACCGCGGTTCGGATTCCGTGGAAACAAAATAGGTCCCGTCCAGATTAGTCCTAGCCCCTGGGTACCTATTCTTCACATCGTTCGCACTTTGCATATGCGCATTTGCATATATTATATGGCTTTCTCAGAGATGCGAGTGATATTTGAAGATGCGAGTGGTTAAGAATAGGTACCCTGGTCCTAGCAAAGGCCCAAAGGCCCTAGCAGTAAAAAGGAAACGTTAACTTAAAATTTATATTTTGCTGCTAGGGCTACTTCTATGTCTCTGGATGCGAGTAACATACTGCCTCTCTTGTCCCAAAAGGGCCTCGCCATGACCTCCCATATATTTCTGGCTTGTTGCTGCCCATGATACAAAGAATACAAGGTATGATATTGCGCAGGTTGGTCACTACGTCACAGGTGATAAACGGCACCATTGGTCGGCAAGTTCCGCGCGCCAATTTCAAATTGTCAAACAGATGACACAATAAATGTCAGAATAATTTTTCAAATGTCAAGCACGATGATTTGACATAACTTTTAGGGTTATGTCCTAATTCTTCCCTATTTTAGGTCTTTTTTTATTAGTGGCAATTGCACAAGATGGATATTTTTTTGTATGGCGTATGACGTCACAGGTGGTATGCGCAAACTTAACGAAATTGGGGCCGCTATCGATCATACCTTGTTTTCTTTGTACCATGGTTGCTGCCAAGGCTATTCTTGGGGGGTGTCGGGTGTCTACCAAGCTTTCTTTGTTTAAACGCGGTCTGCCCAGAAAAATAAATCCTCAAAATTATATATGATCTAAAAGAAGTTTGATCAATGGTTACTCATATTCTTTGGTTTACTCCTTTGAATAAACTGTTAACTGGCGCTCTGTGGTGTACCTTTAAATGACAATTTGACATGTCACTTCCGTTCATTCAACATTCAACAGATTCAACTTGGATTTAACTTCAGCCAACTTCAGCTTGTTCATGGTTGAATGTTGAATGTTGAATGTTGAGTTTTTGTTCTTTGGTTGAGTCTGGTTGAGTGAAGTGTTGTTGAAGGTGTATGAAAGGTGTAGAAGTACGCGTCCGTTTACAAACTAGACTTAGCAAAGCAACTTAATTTTAGAGGGAACAACTTATTATTTGTGTAGTGTTTTATTTTATGTAGGTGCTTGTATTCATTAAAAGTTGCTGCTTCTAGACTATAAAGCCTATGCAAAGTTTAGGGACCCCACTCCGATTGTTTTATTTTGTCTGTTTCTGTTTTATTGGCGTCTATTAGTTGAATGGGTCCAATCTACTTAGTCAATTATAGAATGTGTATTTATATTTGAGGGAATAATATGATAGTGAAGCTCTACAGGACTGTTGTGAATGTTGATCTTAAAGTTGACCTATTTATTTGGATAAACTTAAACAATATACAATAAATTTATGAAAATAATTAACCTTTTCTGTTACAATAACTTATAACAATTTTATGAATAATATAATTTCCTGAAAGTGCTTTATTACTTTTTAACTAGAAATTGAATACACCCATCTTAAAACGAATTTATAATAGTCTAGAAGCAAAACCTGTATGAACAAAGTGATCAAAATATGGGTGAAGAAGAGGAGCAACTAATCTTAAATTATGTAGATGAAGAAATTAAGGGGGTCAGTGGTGCTCCTAATTCAAAATTATCTTCAGGTATTGATGAAAATCAAAACGCACAAATTTTAGTATCTCGGTGTGTTCAAGAAAAGAATCGAGTGACTGTGAAAATAGAAATTGAAAATGACTCTCAAGAGGAAGATTTTGAATTTTCAAAAAACTCAAATAGTTTTGAAATAACCAATTGTAATTCTCAAAACGCTGGTAAGTTATCTTTTTCTTTTAATATGATCTGTAGAAAATATCACAAATACCTTATGATAAAAAAAAAAGCGGCGTTCAGTTCGCTTAGGAATGACGATCGATGCCATTTCCCATGTAATTTTACATATAAAATGACAGCGATCTTCATTTCATAGCCATCGCTGAACACGTTCTTTTTGTTCATATTCTGTAATATTAAGTGCACAAAATGTATATGTGTGTGAACAATCATTCATCATAAGAACATGTATGAACACAAATAAACATGTAAATATAAGTACAAACGAGAACATTCTCTATACATTGATTGTTCATGCTATTCGACACAAAGTATATAGGTACTTACTGGTTTTTCAACAGGGTCCGGCAATAGTTCTTTGGGTATCTGTAGCTCTTAGAATAAAAACTTGAGAATTTTGTATAAGTACAAACCTAAAGTATGTGCGAGGATGTTTTTTCAGGAAAATATTTTAACTTTTATAGGGTGGCTCAAAAAAGTGTGAGTGGATGATTATTTATTTTAAATGGAACACCCTATATATTATTGCATTTTTGAGTTCCTTTCAGATCGCTTTACATAATCCTAAGATATGAGTAAATATTTTTCTATAATTTCAAAGATATTAATAAATAAATTAAAAAATATATTTTTTTAACCTTTAAAAAAATTATTAAAAATTCAAGAACTGCCCTGAAATCAAAACTATATTAGGCATTTACTTTAGATGGTCTATACTTATTTTGCTATAAATTAGTGATGGGCAAAACTGTTATTTTTAGATAACAGTTGAAACTGTTATAGTTATTTATAAAAAACAGCTTAAAATAACAGCTTAAATATAACAGGTTTCTTTATTTTACTGCTAAATATCTGAAAGAGTATGAGACGGTCATCGCCAGGCGTATTAACGCAGTTGCAAGTTGCAACAATGACGTGCTCGGTGGTAGTATTTCCAGGGTGTCAAAACATTTCTAAATATCGATTGTTATCTAAAATACCTCTCTAAAAACGGTGGTTATTTACAAATAAGCGCTGTTTACAAATTGCGATATAAAAAAAGCCAAAATTCGGCCACTCGTCTATAGTATATACCTACGCCCTGCCCCTCGATCCGCGTAGATCCTGAATTGCGTTGCAGTGAACAGGGTGCATCTCACTCGACGGGCGAGAAGCTCTTAGTTATGATTTTACCATTTGCTGTCAAAAAATAGCAATATAAGAAAATGTGTAGTATATTCTTCATAAGTAAACCAACTACACACTAGAGTTCGAATTAATTTTACACTTAAACTAGCGTGTACCCGCGACTTCGTTCGCGTCGAATTAATAATTTCTAATGGTGATGATAAAGCAAAACAAGAATTCCATTAACATACAAACTGGATAAAATTTTCTCACATTTGCCAAAAATAAGCTTTCTAACGTCGAGCAGTTTAAGCAGAATCGTGGTTAATCAATTACTCAACTTTTTGGAACACCCTGTATGATTTTTTAAAAAAATTCAAAATATGTAAAAAAAAACAAAATAAATTATGCGTGTCCAGGCGTTTTCCCGAAAGACTAACCGTTTTTTAAATAACAAATATTGTAATAGTTGAGGGGCGTTTTCACCCTGTTGGAATTTGAGATTCGAGAAACCCCTCCTTATCGAACCTCAACCCCACAGTCAATCCGTTTGCAAAAAATCAGCTTTAAACGTCAAGCAGTTTAAGCAGAATAGTGATTACTCAATGGTCATATTTTATGAAACACCCTGTATATATTTTTAAAAAATCTTAAAATATGTAAAACAACATATTAAAATATACGTGTTTTAAGAATTTTTCCGAAAAACTCACCGGTTTTTAAATAAAAAATATTCTAATATTTTAGAGTAGTTTCACCCCCTTAGAATTCGAGTTTCGAAAAATCCCTTCTTATCGAACCTCTACACACTAAAGTCAATCCGTTTTCCAAAAATCAGCTTTTTACGTCAAGGGCTTTAAGCAGGATCGTGATTAATCAATGACCAGATTTTTCAAAACACCCTGTATACATTTTTAAAAAATCTTAAAATATTATTCTGAAAATTTTTCAGAATAAATATATACCTAAATATTGAAACTTAATAAGTAAGTACTGAAACATACAGGGGGGCAATTTTTGGCTATTCGTTTCCTTGCAAATTGTTCGCAACTTTTCGATCAACACTAAAATCCAATTTTTAAGTGTTCGTATTTTTGCGTATTAGCAAATTTCCCTGCGTTCTCTTGCGAGCGGATCGACAGCATCGTAAGGGTATGTTTTCTAAGTGCGCTTATTAGATTTGATAGTTCCATGTTTGTAGTTGGGTTTAGGTGTATCAATAATAGTAGTGGATGACTTAATGAACGTTTTGGCCATTCGAAATCGACCGATGCAGCAGCGTTCCTTTCCCACTCCTGTTATCTCCACGGCCAGGCGTTATGCCCGCAACTGTTTCAAAAACCCGCTTTTATATCCTATTATTTTTAAGCTGTTGTAAATATGACCATTGACGGTATCGACCGAAGCAGCTACGTTCGCCGTAGCGCTTTCCCCACTCCGTTGTCCGTTGTCTCGCCGCCTGTATCGATGGTTGACGAAATAACATGTTTTCCATCCATACTAGTTGTTTTTTGGAATTGCTTTGAGCAGCATAGAATTTCGTGGTGATGCAGAGCGCCGACTTCGTTTTTCCTTTCACGAGCGGCCGATCTCTACGTGTCGTTATTTTATATCTGTTATTTTTTAAAAGTAGTAACGGTTGCGTTATGTTATTTATAAATAATTGTTATAAAATAACAGATAGTTAAATAACAACCCATCACTACTATAAATATCGTAATCTTACTAACAATAACAACACTAAACACCCTGTACACCTAAAGTTAAGTCCAAGGTCTATTTGTTTTAGTAATAATAAAAAGGGAACCAACAGGAGATGGTGAAGATGAACTTAAGAACGAATCATTAAACAAATTAAAAGATAACATGGAGAAGAAAAGTAAGAAGGCTAATAAGAACGGAGTGACTAAACGTGTTAAGAAAGCTGAACGATTTAAGGCAAAACTCAAGGGCACTGATATTATGACAACTGAGATAGTTGATTTAAGTTCTCTGTGTAAAGAGTAAGTATATTTTATATTTTTTTTTTTATTATAATATTGATCTCACACACATGTATAGCTAGGCTAGTACTAATGTATAGCTAGACTAATGTATAGTTATTTTACTGAAACGAGATAAATTTTTTATTTTTTTTTTATTTTTTCTTCAAAAAAATGATGACAAAACAGTTTCTGTTGGAATTGTGGTACAAATATATTTCAAATTTATTATTTCAGTCTAATAAGTATTAATCAACATGTTTAATTTATGTCAATGATGACAGGTATTGATAATTTCAACTCCAAATATCTCGAGAACAATTACCCGTAGCGATCTTTACCAAGAGACCTTTCTTACGTAAAAAACTTCGTTAAGCGTGCGTTCATTTTTCAGCGGCGTGCGGTGACAATTATAGGCGGGGAAGCGAATCGGTAAAAGACCCTATTTCGAGACATTACTTTTACATTTTCTTAAAATACCGACTAGAAAATCCCTCTTTTAATAACACACATACAAGACAAACACAGTCTAAATTATTGTCCACACTAGCAGAAGCAGAAGATTGTCCTTCTTGACCCTCCATTACAAACGAAACAGGAAACACTAAGTTAAATCCGAAAAAAATACAATATTACCTATAAAATCGCAAGCGAACCCGTCCCGATAAATTAAAAGTCGCGGAAGGCGGCCGAAAGATCGCTGCCGTGGCTAGCAACTGTGCGCGATTTTCCGGCTTAATAGTCAATACCACCTACATGAAATAGGCGACCGGCGGCGATTTCCAAGCGCGCACCCTTGCAGTAAAAGGCTAATTAAATTTACTACGTTTATGTAAGGTTTCAAATAAATAATTTTAACAAATTAAATTAATCTTTTGTTATAAAATAACAGTATTATTAACGTTTAACTATTTATTTTTTTTATCTTTAAAAAGTTTAGGGAAGCGGTGCTTCCCCCGCTTCCATGGACCGCACGCCGCTGAGGTGGCGCCTTCTACAAGTAGGAGTCATATTGACATCAAAATCAAATGTTTCATGTCAAAAAATTCCCAGGCACCAATTTTCATTGAAGTATCAATGTTAGTTTAGAAATTGTTGCGAAAAAATCGAAATAAAATAAAAATTCTACATCGTGTATCTCCGAAACGAATCCATTTTAGGGCACACATTTATACGAACTTTTTTACTTATTTATATCTGCGGAATATGCTGTCGAAGTTTCCCGAATACAGTTCGAACCACCATGTATATACACCCATCTATAGTTAACTTGCCTTTGTTCTGTCATGGTCTGTCGAAATCTTACTTGAATAATAAAACATATTTTGATTTTTTTATGTCCTGTAAACTGCTTTCTTTTAATTATTGAGTATAAATATTTGTATCTATTTACAGGGAAGGTGGAAAACAAGTATTTCCTTGCACAAAATGTCTCTATGTAGGTCATTCAAAGGCCAATTTGGAAAGACATTGTCTTGTTCATTTGGATCCAAAAGAAATTAAATGGTTTGCTTGTACAGAGTGTCCCTATAAATCTAAGTATGAACATCAGTTGAAGAGTCATTATATTGTCCACAAAAAACCAGAAGAAATTGAATTTTTCCAGTGTCCATATTGCGAACAAAAATGTTCTCGTAAACATAACTTAAATAATCATATAAGATCCATACATGCTGATAGAGATTATTCTCTTAAATGTGCAGAATGTGATTATAAAACTTTTCAAAAGGAAAGGCTAGTAGCTCACATTAAAAAACACTCAAAAGAAGTGTTCACCTGTCACTTATGCAAGTTTATGACTAAACAAGAAAAATATTTGCAAACTCATGTTAAGTTAGTGCATACAGAAGTAGAGAAACCTTTTCCATGTGACACTTGTTCATATAAAGGAAAAACCAAGAGGGAGCTTGACAGGCATTATGATCGTATGCATAATAAAGAAAAATTGCATGTATACAAGTAAGTTATATTTGTATATTGCACAAGTGTAGGTTTATATTGGCTTGGTGCATTTCAGTTCATTTTAGAAATTCCGACCGCAGCGCTCCAACGGCAGAAATTTATAAGTACCGGGTATAAAGTATTTTACGCAGTCCCATTACCGTTTTTGTCGATCGCATTGAAATAATATTAAAATCGGGGCATTGTCATAATATTTAAGTATTTTATTTTTTACTAGTGCAGGTATTGAAACTACGATGTTTGTGTGATGCAACGCTGTTTAGGGTAGTAAAAAATAGGTGAAAAAGAACCGGAACTAGGCGTCAATGTTGTTGTGACAATTTCAAATATTAATAAAATTGCTGAAAAAATGTTAACGCGTACAGGAGGGCCTAATTAAGGCATTGTTGGGTGCAATAACATTCAATAACTCAACTTTCCTTTATATTCAACTCTCCCGAAACAACATTTTATATCTACAGTTTCTCACACCAATTTGATCAAGAGCAAAAATGGATTCAAGTAGTTCGACGAAACAAGTGAGTAAACAAAGTGCCTATTACATAATCAAACAATTAAATAGATATATACTATGAGATGAAAAAATATAATTTGCAGTATATATACTTAGTATACTTTTTTTATCAACTAGTGCTTATATTTTTTATGAATATCTTGTAAAATTATAATTATACTAGCGTGTACCAGCGACTTCGTTCGCGTCGAATTAATCATTTGTAATGGTGATGATAAAGCAAAGCAAGCATTTCCATTAATATACAAACTGGATAAAATTTTCTCACATTTATGTCAGCATGAGAAAAAACAATATGGCGATATTATTATATAATTTGGTAATATTTGAGGGGTAGTTTCATCGCGTTGGAATTTGACTTTCGAAAAATCCGTTTGCCAAAAATAAGCTTTTTACGTCAAACAGTTCAAGCAGAATCGTGGTTAAGAAATTACCCAACTTTTTGGAACACCCTGTATGACTTTTTAAAAAATTTCAAAATATGTAAAATAACCAAATAAATTATGCTTGTCCAAGCGTTTTCCCGAAAGACTAACCGTTTTTTAAATAACAGATATTGTAATGTTTGAGGGGCGTTTTCACCCTCTTGGAATTTGAGATTCGAGAAACCCCTCCTTATCGAACCTCTACACCCCACAGTCAATCCGTTTGCCAAAAATCTGCTTTAAACGTGAAGCAGTTTAAGCAGAATCGTGATTACTCAATGGTCATATTTTATGAAACACCCTATATAAATTTATAAAAAATCTTAAAATATGTAAAACAACAAAATAAAATATACGTGTTTAAGAGTTTTTCCGAAAAACTCTACGGTTTTTAAATAAAAAATATTTTAATATTTGAGGGATAGTTTCACCCCCTTAGAATTCGAGTTTCGAAAAATCCCTAATTATCGAACCTCTACACCCCACAGTCAATCCGTTTGCCAAAAATCTGCTTTAAACGTGAAGCAGTTTAAGCAGAATCGTGATTACTCAATGGTCATATTTTATGAAACACCCTATATAAATTTATAAAAAATCTTAAAATATGTAAAACAACAAAATAAAATATACGTGTTTAAGAGTTTTTCCGAAAAACTCTCCGGCTTTTAAATAAAAAATATTTTAATATTTGAGGGATAGTTTCACCCCCTTAGAATTCGAGTTTCGAAAAATCCCTTCTTATCGAACCTCTACACCCTAAAGTCAATCTGTTTTCCAAAAATCAGCTTTTTACGTCAAGCGCTTTAAGCAGGATCGTGATTAATCAATGACCAGATTTTTCGAAACACCATGTATACATTTTTAAAAAATCTTAAAATATGTAAAAAAACAAAATAAAATATACGTGTTTAAGCATTTTTTCGGAAACTTGCTCGTTTTTTAAATAAAAAATATTGTAATATTTGAGGGGTGGTTACACCCTCTTGGAACTGGAATTTCGAAAAATCCCTTCTTATCGAACCTCTACATCCTAGAATCAACCTGTATGCCAAAATTGAGCTTCTTACGTTGAGTGGTTTGAGCAGGATCGTGATTAATCAGTATGTCAGTCACTTAAGGATTTTATATATTAGTATAGATACCTTCAAAAAATTTCGTTATAGCTGAAATAGCCAAAGTTATGCCTCCACTAGCAGAACCAGTCCGTAAAACTATGCTCGCTACCGCAGTTGAACTCATTTAAAAAGTTTTATTGGCTTCAATATATACAAGTTAGACCTTCTGAAGATATCAAAATATTTACTTTTTATTTTTTTTTAGAATTTTCACAAATTATACTCCCTAACACTTTTAGCATAATTATATAAACTTTTTTTCATATACTCGCTCTATACTTTTCTATTTAAACCCATGTATTTTTATATAAAGATTTATATACAATATTCTCAGATGGTGGCAGCACCCACGGAGAATGCACCAAGCCTATAGCATCCGTAATGCATCGTCCGTTGATCTGTCATATTTGGAATAAACCAATAGGATTGTATAAAAACGATGACAGACGATGCATAGTTTGTATATAACCTCACTTTAAGTTATATTTTTATTATACTACATAAAAATTATCATTTTAGATGCCACAATTGTTCTTTTAATTCCATTTATAAGAAAAATCTTGAATTTCACCTGTTACATATGCACCAGAATTCAAAAGGATTTACCAAATTCATTTGTGGACATTGCGATAAGGAGTTTACTTATAAAAATGGTCTGAAAACTCATATTGTCCGATGTCACATTAAATTACGTGAAGAGGACTGGCACAAGTAAGTTTTACAGATAAAATTTATTTCTTTTCCATACCTTGGAGAAATCTGGAGTTGAGAGAAAATTAAAAAAATATATATTTAAAAAGCTGAATCATTAAATTTAGAGATTTCATTCATTTTTGCTCTAAGGTAGGGACTGTCATTTTGTAGTACATAATAATAATAAATTTTTTGTCTTATTTTTGCCTCCAAGTGGAATATTTATGGTAGGTATTTTAAACAACTTGGTTGCAATTAACCAAATCACACACACACATATTTTTCTTATATTAAAAAAATAAAGGGTCCAAGGAAAAACATGATAAGCGCCATTTCACTAATTTTACAGGGGAGCACTGGCCGGCTGGTGATTTTCAGGCTCTTTCCATGAATTCTATATTTTACTAGGCATATATCATAGGATTTAACAACTTATTCCCTGCATATTTATAAATTTTGTAGGGACCAGTTAGACCTACTATAATATTGTAAAAATCCTCAAATTAAGAAATTAGCGTTTATCAAGTTTTTCCCTGAACCCTTCAAATCTAATGTTTGTTTAGCGACAGTCATATTTTAGGTTTGTTCTCACAGCGTGTTCCCAACATGTTTGTGACTTCTTCCAAACCGGTGTTAATGAGCAGTCAAATAATGCAGTTTCTGATCGATTTCAAACTGTCTGTGCAAACAGAAAATCCCCTACTCTTCTTTTTTGATCTAATACCACTAATTACTCCTACCACTACAACTCCTACGGCCTGACTCGTTCCTCCATCAGCTCTTCTAGGTCTGTGTCTGTATCCGAAAATTCAAACGCCTCAGATTCTTCGGAAGATTCAAAATCGCTCATTTCTTTTCTTTATTTTTTGAAGAAAAAAAAACACTAAACAAAAACAACTCACGTTTTGTAGGTTAAGTTTACCAAGTAATGACGTCGGGTCGCAATACGCATGCGCCAGACACTTTACTTGCAAAAGTTCCGCGAACAGGTCTGACCAAATACGTTTAAATAAAATATACCGAGGGTACCGCTTAAATTTCTGTCCCGATATTGAAGGATGGCTATAGAATTTCAATGCATTTCCTACAGAAGTCTATCCTTGTGTTGTAAGAGGTTGGACTAAACAAGGATGAACTTATGTCCTGAAACAATTCAGACTCGATTTTCTGTCCTTCAATACTGGGACGTAAATCCTCTCATGCTCTTATGGGTAGGCCGTCAGCTAACAATCAAAAATTTCTGTGCGAACGCGTTTTACCCTATTGCGCATGATTATCTGTTGGAAATATATATGTTTCTTACAGCTGTGAGAACGAACCTATTATACTATTATGTCATATTATTCTCTCGTTGGGGAGACTATATTACTTTTATTATCAACCGTTGAATAAAAAAGACTAAGGAAAGAGTATCAACCAAAAATTGGCAAGACCATGAAGGTACTTTAATATGACTGACTTGCATTCTGCATTATCAGTGACATTACATTTTTGAAGTGAAGCTTCTTTACGCGCGATGGGAGTAAAAATTTAAGGCCGTGATACACCACGGCCTTGACCATGTCTTGACCCACGAGCTAGCGAAAAAAAAGTGGTAAGGAACGCGCAAACACCAAAAAACATTTGATTTAAAGGTAAGAAAAGTATCATAATAAACTTGAAACTGTACCTCGGTACCAGTATTCTCTGGTTATATGCTAGGAAGTAAACTTTCATGCATATTTTGATCGATAGATTTGTAGCTTCTGAATAACGGTCTCGGTAAAGCATTTAGCTCAGAATTAGAATTATTAGAGTCAAGCAACTCGCATTTTCATTGGAGGACATCTTCATTATTTCAAACAAGTTAATCAACGAGAATATCCATATAATTTAACAAAATTACTGTAAACCACTATAAATACGAATTGTTGGTTAGATTCAAATTTTTTTCTCTTCTTAAATAAATTTAAGCATTAACATTATTAGGCATTTGCATAAAAGTGTGTATTTTGGGTGGTATTCCACAAAATTTGCAGGCTATTGAGGAAATAGAAAATGTACAGATTACAGAAATAAATTGAAAATAACATTTATAGTAAAACAGCATTATACAGAGAAGACCAGGCTACTAGTAACATAGCTAGTTGCCGGACGAATTTACGTTTACCCGATTTGCGTTCGTACTCGAGATTCACTGCCGGCTAGTCGGCTGGTCAGGCAGTACGCAGTTGCAGTTGTGCTTGGACGGGTCGGTCGTGACAAACTAGGAATACGACGCGAGAAGTGCCGAGTATTTATTATTTTCATTTTAAGTGTTTACCTTCACTTAAGGTAACATTTAAAATAAAAATACTTAAATATTTATTATTTGAGTGTGTTTACAAGCCAAAACTATAAATAAATAAATTCTCTAAACCCCAAAAAAACTAAAATATTACTCTAAATAAAAAGAAGTTATAACAAGTGTTCAAAAAGACCATCTTCTTGTGCTAGACAGAAGCCTAGGCGATCGTACAATCCCCGTCTGGCATTGGCTAACATATTAGGGCTAATAGTTTGGAAAGCCTCTTGTATTTTTACTTGAAGCTCATCCATATTATTAGCCCTATTATGACCATACGCTTTGGATTTTACACAACCCCACAAAAAGAAATCATTGGGAGAAAGATCTGGTGATCTAGCGGGCCACAAACTATTCCATGTCCACTAATTAAACGGTTGGGAAAAGTATTGTTCAAATATTCTTGAACAATACGGGCATTGTGGGCAGGGCAACCACCTCAGCAATTTGATTACTTGAAAACGTGGGATTTTGATCCGCGGTAGCACAAATGAACACTTGCTTTAACTCCTGTTCTTCATTAATCAACACATCAGGCTTTTTGTGTTTTTGTGGGAACACGCACCCATGTCTTTCAAAATTATTAATAACTCTTGATATAGTAGGTAAAGATGGAATTGGCCTGTTTACAAAAGTTTGTGGAAAATTTTTTTGTATATCCCGATAAGACCTATTTTGGAAATACCATTTTACAATTTGAATTTTCTCACGAACTTCGTAAACATCCATTATTTTACTTAAAAAAATAAATTTTACACGAGAACTGTCGCGAGAATCTATGTATTCGTTTTGGCTATTAAAACACGAATAAATACGAATTCTGAAACATTCTTATCACATACATATCTACCTATTTTTATTTTATCGCATTTTTCGCCTGCTTTTTATCCGGCGGACGGGTATACGCTAATTCGTCCGGTTCTGCCTATGTTACCACAACGGTGGTCCGGTCTGTATGTCACTATTTAATAGCTGTTTTACTTTTTTTACTTCAAAAAAAAATTTTGCTAGCTTTTTTTATTCAAGCAATTGGTCTTGTTTCCTTAGTTTTTTTATTCGCGGTTTTCAACTAATACATTCTCAATAAATACATTGTCAAAACAGATGTATGGAATGCAAATATAAATCCAAATGTATCAATACCTTGAAAAGGCATATTAAGAGAAACCACGGTGCGCCCAGGTTACTATGTAACAAGTGTGACTTCAAAACGAATCGTCAGATATCCATGGACGCCCACATGAAGACGCATGATGTAGACGGGGAAGATGTTTTAAAGGTTAGTATAAAAATATTTAATGATGGTAATATTGTAATTGATTTCACTTTTTAAATTTAGTGTCCCAAATGTCCATATCGCATTATCCAGATGTCATCGTTCCTTTATCATGTGAGAGTTATTCACAACATAAATGTAACTCCCAAAGAAGCTACGGCAAAGTATACTGGGGTGGCCTAGCTTTTTGCTGTTTTAATTGGTAAGACTTATTTCATTTATTGTTTTGTGTTTATTTTTTAAAAATATACTAGAACGTTTTTTATAGATTTAAGTGTTTAGACTTTATTTATTAGAGCAATTTAGTTTACAGTTTTCTCATTATAATGACTTTAGTTGTATAGTTTCTTTTTTTAAATGTGTCTATTGTGTCAGCAAAAACCTTATCAAATGTTTTTTTTTTTCAATTAATCTCTAAATTATATTACTCAATTTTCTTACCATACCGTAATACCGCGTGCGTCTCAAACGTGGCTCACCCCTATATTTTTTTTTATTTTTTTAGTTAAAAAAAACGAGATTTGGTATGTTAGTATATGACATAAATTAGGATTGGTCGACGTATTCAATTGTTTTCGGTCACTTCCGGTTTCACCGGAAATGACTACAGCTTTTGATTTTTAAATGCCACCCTCGGTATTTTTTTACTTTATTCGATTGAAAATGGCACTCTGAATAGAATGACATATCATATGTCAACTTTTGAGATTTTCGCATATGCTTTATTTGAAATTAAAACTTGCGGTTTTGACTTGAAATACCAAGTGTGTGGTATCAAATTATTCGTAAAAAATGCTTTTTCCAAATATACTAATGAGCCACCCTCGTTCCATTTGAAAAAAATGAGATATGATTAAAAATACGATTAGAACATTTTCTAACTTACCAGGACAAGACACTAAAAACATTAGATGATCGAATCTATTTTTCCAAGGCTCTTTGAGGAAGAATTAGTGTTTTTAACATAGCCATGGCACCCTAGATTGAATTTTAAAATACAATTTTTTATCAAGCGAGAATGTCAAAAGTTGACATATGATATGTCATTCTATTCAGAATGTCATTTTCTATAGAATAAAGTAAAAAAATACCGAGGGTGCCATTTAAAAATCAAAATTTGTAGTAATTTCCGGTAAAACCGGAAGTGACCAAAAACAATTGAATTCACCAATCAATCCTAATTTATGTCATATACTAACATACCAAATCTCGTTTATTTATCTGAAAAAATAAAAAGTTATAGGGGTGAGCCACTTTTGAGACGCACCCGGTATAGATAGTTACTTTTCTCGTTTGCGGATATTACTTTTAATTACCAAATCACAGGTCCCGAAAATATATTGGTAAATAAAGCTGGGACCCTATTAGGCAACACGCCACGTCACGCCACGCTATGCCATGCGATGCCACCCCACGTCCTTAATATATGTGCATATGTTTTTCCATTTAATTAACATGTGTTGCGTACACACTAGGTTCACACCACCCCATGCCACGCCATTTCACGCTATCACACGTGTGATGGGCGATTTATCTGTCCCAGATCTCACCGACGCGTCTTACGGTGTTGTTGTTCCCCGCTTGCCTGTCTAGCCCCGCAGCTATTTACTTTTTTTGTTGATGTTGGGATACCCCAAAAATAAAATAAATCGATATTTTGAATCGATTTAACATCGGACATAACAAGATAGATCCAGAAAAAATCGGCAACAAAAGGTCGATCTTATTAAATATCAATATTCGATTCTGAATATATTTGTGTACTGGTATAATAACAAAAATACAATGTAATTATATAAAAAAGGTAAAGGTGTGGATCCGGTGGCTGACCTTGAAGCACATATTTGCTGCATTTAATCCCTAATTTAATCAGAGATCCTACGCAAGCGCACTTCGTAGATGTTGCAGGTTATTTTCGAATTATTTGCAGTAGAAAACAAAAATATTTTTTTGAGTGTTCAATCAGTAATAACACAAATTCTATGATTAATTTTATGTTTTACTTCTAAAATATAAATTTATAATAATAGCTCCCGTATATAGCGTTTAACGCTTTGGGAGTAGCAAGGTACAGCTTGCTATACTAGAGCCGTTCGGTATACAAGGAAGGTAATGTGGCTAGCACTACGCTTCAACCGCCTATTATTACCTCAGAATTGTGAATCCCAAGTACTCATTTAAGGCTGAGTCGACCTAGGTACCCAAACTATTTTTATTTTAATAAAAAATAGTCGGCTGATGAAATGCCGGGTGTGGGAATCGAACCCACACCTTGAGATTGATAGACGAGAGCCTGTACCTCTACGCCACCGGGCACCTAAATGTAACCTTCAAAACTCAAAAAACGAAGAAAAATTATTTGATATTTTAGAAAGTTTGGCATAGAATTTTGAACACCCTTTATGGTTTAAGATTACGATATTTGTAGTAAAGTAAGTACAGACCAACATAGTAAATATTTAGTATAGTTTTGATTTCAGAACATTTCTTGTGTTTTTAATAATTTTTTTAAAAAACACTTTTTATTTATTTATTAAAATTTTTGAAACTATGCAAACATATTTAATAATATCTTAGGATTATGTAAAGTGATCAGAAAGGAAGCCAAAAATGCAATAATATACAGGGTGTTCCATTAAAAAAAATCATCCCGATCCACTCGCACTTTTTTGAGCCACCCTGTAGAAGTTAAAATATTTTCCTGAAATACATAGTAGGTATCGATACTAGGGAAAAAAGTATCGGTATCAGTATCGATACTTCTAGTATTTTCGCATCCCTACTGATAATTTTTCTAATTCTAATTCTACTTTTTTTAGAGAATAAGCGTGTTACAAATGTGTACACCCTTTCCCACGTCGCAACACGTGGGGTGACGTGGGATAGCGTGATGTAGGGTGTTGCCTAATGGGGCTCCGGCTTAAATTTGACATCACAAACTTCAATGTAGTAGAAGGAGTATGACATGACTATCTTAAATATTTTTTTAATATTAATGATAAAAGGTTAAGAAATGTTTCTTTAAAGATATGTCAAACTTTATTTTGTTATTATTAAATTGATTTGTTTTTTTTTTTGGATTTTACACCATTATACATAATTCCAAATTCCTTTATAAATGGTTTTGAAGCTTTTTAATTTTATTGTGTGTATTTAATTATTTAATTTTTTAAAGAACGGACATTGAAAAATAGAAGGGCTATATAAATTTATATGCAACAAAATAAAGATTACTGTAAATACATATTAATGTTGTAATTTGCTATTTTTGAAAAAATAACAATTTCTTACTATAACACTGTTGAGAATTTGAAAAAAAAAACCTTTGGTGAGGCCCTTAGTGTAACATGTTATATGGTTTGTATAATTTATTATCGAAGGAATATTAAATTCAGTTTAATGGTTTAATAAATGTTTTTAATATATATTTAACTTTACATTGGCATTCTTATAGTTGTATAAGCTGTTACCTTATGATTTTTAGGTTAGTCTGATCTTAAATGATTATGGTTAAGGCATTATATGTATTAAGTTATTATTGAAATTCTTTTTTATATTTCATTCGTAAATTGTTAAGAAATCTGTTAATATTGACTCAAATTGTGCAATTAAGATATTTTAGACCAAGGCAATACTCAGAATACGCTTCCTTTAACACAATGTTTTTTCACGTTTTGTTAGGAAATTAAGTTTTCATATTTTTAGAAATCGTTTTATAAACCCTATTTGATTATTATATTTGTTAAAAGCAGCTATTATTAAAAAGCGAGTTAATTTTGTTATATCTAATATTAGTATTTTTGTATGCCTACATGATTTGCTTTATTTTCGGTTTTATGTTAACTTTTATTATTTTATTTACTTCTTTATTTTGCTCCTCAAATGAGTTAATTTGTCTTTTTATTTGCTTAACTATAGAATAGATTTTATGAATACTTATTACTTTTTTGATATCTTGATGTATTTATATTCTTTGAATAAATAGCGTATTTAGAATATGTTAAGCATTGTTTTCCTTGTAGAATATTTTTATAAATGTTATGTCATACACTAGCAGATCCGGCTATGCGTTGCTGTGGCTAAGGTCAGTGATGGGCAAGTATCCAGTATATTGAAATTTGGGTAAATACCCAAATTTTTTCACCTGGTATATACCCAAAAGGCAAATAAATACTATATTGAATTTGGCTAAATACCATTATACCCGGTATATACCCAATCATTACCATTATACCCGGTTCATACCCATCATATATACCAACATACGCACGTTTTTAATTTAGCGGTGAAATTATTGAATTACTAATATTGCTATTAAAAAATAGGGGTTGATAGTAGAAGGGTGAAAATTCAGGGTTGTGTGTATTTTTAATGCCAAATCATAAAAAGATAAAAATAAAAAATTTATCAAAAATATAAAATATTTGGAGGGGTCATTTTTGGGGTGGTTAAAAGATTTCGGAGGAGTGTGGTAACAAAAACTGACACGAGAGTTTTATATATTAGATTTTAAAGAATAATTCAGTTTTACAGAAAATTACACAAATAAACCATAATATAATAATATACTTTTGTGCATATTGGTACAAACTTGTAATTCTAAAATATTATCCATATTTAGAATATTTATATATTATTTGCATTGGTGTATATTTACTGCAAAGGCTTTTTATAATTTATTATTCAAATATCAAAAGAGTATCCATAATTTTTTCGATCTTCATCTCCAAGCAAACTCTAACACCTCTTTGTTTAATCATATAATATTAAATTAAATTGTTTAATGATAGAAAATCCGTATTATCACCTTACTGTACCCAAAATCCGTAAATCTACAGATTAATCAGTAGTTCTGGCAACACTGTCTCCGGAAACCACTCATTCTGTCGATCGAAAGCAGAAGTGTGGTGAAGCACTGGTGCACAAGAACTAGCGAAATCGAGAGTCTGTTCGATGAATAAGGTGTAATCAGGTTATTTCGGTATTCCATTTGTGTTGGTAACAATTTTGGATATTGTAAACAGCTCTATTGGCACATCGTTGACGTAATCTTCGAAGTTGCCAGGACTATTTTGGTTCTCGTTAGATAAGTGATTGATCAGGGATGGTCGACGTGTGGATCTGTCGTTATTGAAAGTACTGTCAGTTAGTTTTGAACTTGCCGACCCTGAAATTTTTTTACAATTTATATAAAAAATAATTATTTTGATTGCTTAGTTTCTTTAATTAAACATTACCGATACTATCTCGCTTATTTTTGATTTGCTGGAAGCTTGGAAAATCTAATGCCGGTATGTTTTTCGCCAGAGACCATTTTATAACATTTTCAATTGTCATATCTCTCGCCTGCTCATTACTGCTTTCATCTGTCATTTCTGTTATTTTAGGAGTTGACAGTCGTTTCTGATTATATAAACCTTAAAAAATAATATTAGACAATAAAGAGGTATTTTAAAACATATTTATTTACTAATTTTAGATAGTAAAAATCTAAACGAAAAACTGTTTTATAGTCTTTTCGGGGTAACTGTTTAGTATTACGACACAGAAACGCGACTGCTCTGAAATCAAAACTATATTAGATATTTACTTTAGTTGGTCTGTTCTTACTTTGCTATAAATATGGTAATCGTAAATCATACAGGATGTTCAATATTTTATGCCAAACTTTTAAAAATGTAAAATAATTTTTCTTCGTTTTTTAAATGGAACACCCTGTATATTATTTTTTATTGGATGGAGAATTAAAAAATAAACATTTTTTGTATGTAAAGTATTTCAAAATTTTTAATAGTTTTTCGGATACACGCAGTATTATTTCATATGGCGCTTTCAATGGCAAAATACGAGAGAAAAAACATTGGGTGGCTTTGATAAAAATTTACTGTGGAAAATGCCATATGAAATACAAATCCGGGAATATCTGCGAAACCGTTAAAGATTTTGAAATACTCTAAACACAAAAAATGTTCATTTTTTAATTCTCCATTTATTAAAAAATAATATACAGGGTGTTCCATTTAAAAAAAACAAAGAAAAGATATTTTATATTTTAGAAAGTTTGGCAATGAATTTTGAACATCCTGTATGATTTACGATTTCCATATTTATAGCAAAATAAGTACAGACCATCTAAAGTAAATATGTAATATAGTTTTGGTTTCAGGACAGTTCTTGTATTATTAATAATTTTTGTTAAGAAAGGCTGAAAAATATATAATTTTTATTTATTTATTAATATCTCTGAAATTATCGAAATATATTTACTCATGTCTTAGGATTATGTAAAGTGATCTGAAAGGAAGCCAAAAATGCAATAAAATACAGAGTGTTCCATTTAAAAAAAATCGTCCCGATCCACTCACACTTTTTTGAGCCACGCTATAGAAGTTAAAATATTTTCCTGAAATACATCCTAGTACATACTTTAGGTTTGCACTTAAACAAAATTCCCAAATTTGTTATTCTAGGAGCTACAGATGCCCGACGCACTATTGCCGGACCCTGTATAGAGATAAAATAGAATTATGATACTCGATAATTCAGGCAAATAGCAAACCATGTAGATTCTTTTTAGATTCTAAACGTAGGTATGTTACCTTCGCATATTTCTTCAGTACGTCTAGTCAGTGGGATGATCACTGTTTGTTCCCTTATATTTAAACTTGGTTCATAAACATGATGTCCAAACTGTTCGATAGTGCTATTTCCAACGTTGCCATTGGTTTCCATTATACCAATTTGGGACGTTCTCACATGATATGGAAAATTTTTATTGGCAACACTGGGCATCGTTAAAATCTGAAGTGTTTAAATACAATTTATTGATTATAAACATATACATACGTATCATTAAATTTGTAATATTTCTTTAGAAATTTAAAATTTCTAGTATTTAACATTCTCGTATTATGTAAAAAAATTATAATACTAACCAAGAACATCAGATGTCCACCAAATGCGATAAAGAGTAAAACTGCCCAAACTACGGATTCTCGCACCCATTTGTCTATATAGGTGTTTGCAGATATAATGAAGGCCGGGCCAGCCACAAACCATATTGTTCCAAATAAATTAAAAGGATAATAAAAGTTGGACTGGAATGAAGAATTAGGTACTTTTAAAGAGATTCGAGGTTCATAAGCGCCAGAATTTGTAATGTATAATATAACTCTAAACTACACTCAAATGCAAAAAAAACGCAACGGAGAATTTTTTCAAGTTTAAAGTGTTTTTACTTTTAGCCCTACTTTCATCAATTTTTTAGCAAACTGTATATAAATCTATCAGCTTTAATTATTCATAAACTCAATTGTTTTTAAACTTTGGTATTTGGCTTATTATACGGGGTTAATAATAATTGGGTTGTTTTTTACCTTAACGTTAAAACACCCTGTGCAATAATTTTGTGAGTAACTTTTCCTAAAACATTACTTTTCGATCAGAACCATGTCTCCTGAGCATTTTCTTTTTTGACTCATGTCAATAAATGCCTTTTTTAATAATTTTTAAGAGCGAAATGAGTTTCTCTCTGAAATGAACTTGCCACCAATAATTTGCAATTTTTTCAACTGTCATTACTTTATGATGTTATTTTTTAATATCACGAGGTTGCTTTGGTAACTGTTGTCGTATTGTCATATCGACACTCACTAGAAGTCTACCGGGTGCGTCTCAAAAGTAGCTCACCCCTATAACTTTTTTATTTTTTTCAGATAAAACAACGAGATTTGGTATGTTAGTGTATGACATAAATTAGGATTGATTGACATATTCAATTGTTTCCGGCCACTTCCGGTTTCACCGGAAATGACTACAACTTTTGATTTTTAAATGGCACCCTCGGTATTTTTTTACTTTATTCGATAGAAAATGACACTCTGAATCGAATGACATATCATATGTCAGCTTTTGACATATTAGCTCAAAAACAAATTGTATTTTAAATTTCAATCTAGAGTACCGTGGCTGTGTTAAAAACACTAATTTTTAATCAAGGAGCTTTGAAAAAATTGATTTGATCGTCTAATGTTTTTAGTGTCTTCTCCTGGTCGGTTAAAAGATGCCCAAATCATATTTTCATTCATATCTTAACTTTTTCAAATGGAACGAGGGTGGCTCATTAGCATAGTTGAAAAAAGCATTTTTTTACGAATAATTTGATACCACACACTTGGCATTTCGAGTCAAATTGTCGTTATGAACCGCATGTTATAATTTCAAATAAACCATATGTGAAAATGTCAAAAGTTGACATATGATAAGTCATTCTATTCAGACTGTTATTTTCTATCGAATAAAGTAAAAAAATACCGAGGGTGCTATTTAAAAATTAAAAGTTGTAGTCATTTCCGGTGAAAATAATTGTAATAACTAAGTGAACAAACAAACAAAAAACTTGTAAAAAATACTCTAATACTTTGCATTGCATCCTCCGACTGCTAGCTTTACTCGTAACTGTCTGTAGACGTCGGTTCATACTCTTTAATGAGGCTGCAAATATATTGTGTTATGTTTTCCCTTTCTTCTTCAAGGATCAAGCGAATATTCATATAATTTCGGTCATCTCCAACAAGATCAATGACTTTTGCACTATCTTCGACACTAAGAACCATATTCAATCGTAAACAACAATAATCACCAAAGCCATCTCGTCATTATGAAAAATAATATCAAAAAGTAACGATGATTAAAAAAATTGCAAAATGTTTGTGACAAGTCCATTTTGCTCTTAAAAATTAACCAAGGCAAGTGTTGAAATGAGTCAAAAAACAAAATATTCAGGAGACATGGTTCTGACCAAAAAAATAATATTTTAGGAAAATTTGCTCACGAAATTACTGCACACAGTGTTTTAAATATAGGGTAAAAAACAACTATTCGATTAACCCTGTATAATGAGTCAAATACTATAATTTATAATAAAATACTAAAGTTTGTAGTTAAACTGAGTTTACTTAACCAAAGTTGGCGTAGTTATACAGGGTGGCGCACCTCATTCGCCTCGGTTGATTATACGAAAACGGAAAGATGTAGAAACATAATTTTTTATGGGTATAAATGTACAGGGTGTGTCAGAATTAAGATCTATACCACAGTTATATTTTTTCTTATGGAACACCCGGTATTTTATTTCATTTTTGGATTCTTGGGCATAAAATAAGGCATTTATTATAAGGGTTTAACATGTTAAATGCTTTGGTTTTCGAGATATTTAAATATGCATGCTATAATAAAAAAAATTGTCAACACCCTGTACATTACTTTTCAGAGTTCATTCTAGTGCCGACTTTGAAGCCAAGGAAATAAACTTTACTAACAAAATTTATTGCTTCCTTAAATGTATACAGGGGTATCAAAAATCGCTGGTCTATTTTAAATATTTATTTTACATAAAAACTTCGTTATTTCAAATACAACACCCTGTATTTTTTAAAATAAATCCAAGCAGATTTAAATGCTCTTTCAAACTGTATTAGGGTTTCCTATACCTACTTGGCTCTGATTTTGAATAATAAGCGATTTTTCAATAAAATTGTAATCAAGATACACTTACTAACTATTTTCAAAATCGACATTAGTTTATGGACTTCGTTTAAATTTATAACAGTTTACTTTTATTTAATTTTTCTACAATAGTTTAATAAGTAAGTATTCATTATTTTATCGAAAAAAATAAAGAAGTAGTTCTTTTTGATTTATATTACGATGACTAGTAGAAATATTGGATTTTCAATAAAAGAACCAATTAAGGCAAATTAATTTCCTTCACTTCCAACGACAGGTTTCTGCCTAATAGGTCTTTCATATACCACAGTATCTCTGCGAAATAGGAAAAGTTGTTTTTCAAAGATACGCTTGTCAAGAAAATTTCTATTTGGATATCTTTGAGCATAAACCCTTCAGGCCAGCCCACCCCCCCCCTCCCCAAGCAATTGTCCTCACAAAATAAAATCACTAGTAATGCATCCATTTCTTCGGCCAGCAGATACTGCTTCATTTTTCTTGATAAAATAATAAATACTTACTTATTAACCTTATTGTAGATAAATTAAATGAAAATAAACTGTTACAAATTTAAATAAAGTCCATAATCTAATGTCAATTTTGAAAATAGCTACTAAGTGTCACTAGAAAATTACCATGGCGACACCAGCCATCTTGATTACAATTTTATTGAAAAATCGCTTTTTATTCAAAATCTGAGCCACATAGGTATAGGAAACCCTAATACAGTTTGAAAGAGCATTTAAATCTGCTTCGACCTATTTAAAAAAATACAGGGTGTTGTATTTGAAATAACAAAGTTTTTATGTAAAATTAATTCTTAAAATAGATCAGCAATTTTTGATACCCCTGTATAAACTTAAGAAAGCAATAACACTTTCCTGTAAAGTTTATGTCTCTACCTTTAAATTCAACACAAGAATGAATTCTGAAAAGCAATGTACAGGGTGTTAATAATCCATTCTATTGTAGCATGCAAATTTAAATATCTTTAAATATCTCAAAAACCAAAGATTTTAAACATATTTAACCCTTATAATAAATGCCTTTTTTTGGGCCCAAGAATCCAAAAATTAAATAAAATACCGGGTGTTCCATAAGAAAAAATATAACTTTAGTATGGATCTTAGTTCTGACACACCCTGTACATTTCAAAATAATTTTAAATTATGCACATTGCCTTCCCACATGTACCCATAAAATATTTTGTTTCTATATCTTTCCGTTTTCGTATAATCAACCGAGGCGAATGAGGTGCGCCACCCTGTATATACCTATACATATAAGGAAAATCAAAAGTAGATCAAAAAAATTCCCGTTGCGTTTTTTTTGCATCTGAGTGTATTCTTATTTTTACAATCAATTTTTTTTAACAAATAAATATAGCCTTTGAATTTATAAGCTTTTAGAGATATATAGACATTTCTAAAAATACCACCGTACCTTTTCTGGATATTTTTTTAAAGTAATAACGGTTGAGTATATAAACATAAGCCAAGCTATAATTCTTAAGATTATTAGGCCATAACCAGCTGGTGATTCATATAAGTATAATACTTCTCCTGGATCAAACACCTAAAACTACTTTCATAAACTATAATTTGTACTAAAAGAATATTCTCTTACTAACCACAGCTTCATAGACGAAGATTGTCAGATATGTAGTGACGTAAAGGCACATAAATACCGTTAATTTGACTGTGCCCTTAAGCGATAATCTCCCTCTTGTAATAGTAAAACCTTTTGCCAAAAGAAGCAGAAGCAGTAAGAAACATGTCTCGGATGCTCCTAACATCATATTTCCTGTAAATTATAATATTTTTTAATAATTTTCTTCTTAATACTGGAAGTACACACTGGCCGAGGCGACCCGAGGCGCGACAAAAAAGGACGGTCCTAATCAATAACAATGTATAAACCGTTAATTTTTTGTCGCGCCTCGGGTCGCCTCGGCAAGTGTGTACTTCCAGCATTGCAACATTAACAGTCAATTAAACAAAAAAAAGTGATGCGAAACAATGACGTAACGTAACAAGTCATAGCCAACTATGATTTCCATTAAAAAAACATATGTTTGTATCATATGTAAAAAATTACAGGCTTTAGAACAAAAAACGGAGAACACAATCTCATTAAGGATGTGATTATCTACAACTTTTGTTTGAAAGCTTTTTGTCTAAAATAGATTATATCGACGGTTGAAAGGAGAAACTGCTAATACGCCACTTTCATAACTTTACAGAAGACCTTTGTCTGTTTTATTTTGAAACTGTGTCGCTTAAGACATTATGTTTCTCGTAATTTATTCAAAATTTAAAATGTTTAATGCGTCAAACCATAGGATTATTAGGATGAAACCTAAGTAGATCGACGCAGAAAAATTCGAAGGTATAAATAACTCAATTTCCACAAAAGTGGCGTATTAGCCATTTCTCCTTTCAACCGTCGATATAGTATAATAGAAAATTGTTTTTCTCGAAATATTTAATAAGCCATAAACTTTTTCAAAAATCCGTATGGCGCATGTTATGTTATGTCACAAAACTGCAATTCTTTCCCCATTTCACCGACTCTCTAACTGCAATAGTTTCCGAGATACCCAGAGAGAACATCGTAAAAATAACTGTTGATTATATACTCACCAACTCTTTTGGTTCTGGACGATATTCTTCCACTTACGGCCACCTTTAGAAATACAATACTTAACACTAATATTCCAAGCAATTGAAGGACACAAGACAGAACAAAAATTTTGTAAGTGGTGTGGAGTAATTGTCTCTGTTTTAGTTCCAATGAACATACAGTTATGCCTAGTAGTAGGAAAGAATATGCAACAGAAAATGCCATCAGAATTGGTAGAATATCTGGAAATAATGTCATAAAGTTAAAATTATTAATATATTTTACTAGAACAATTTGACAAGTTGTTTTACATATCTTGTAAAAGTTGGATTGTCTGGTTATCGAATGTAATACCACAAGATGTTTCGGGATTACCGAATAATACTTTTACCTGACACGAAATGCCACACTACTCCTCCTTCGGAGTCGTAGTTGCTGTCCTCCATTCGCGAACTTCGAGTTGCGGGCTTTACGCCCTGGGGCTACTCGAGAACCGTTCTGAAAGGAGCTGTGCGCGATAGTCTCGTGCCTCCATATGGCGCGGAACAGTTCTGGAACTTTATGACTCAATTGAATGGAGTGAGAGTATCGCGTTCTTGAACAGTTCAGAGCTGCTCAACTGCGTGAAAGGAGGACAGCAAGTGTTGCCGGTATCACATTGAGTGTCAGGTAAAAGTATTAGGTAATCCCGAAACATCGAGTTGTATTCAAAAGATTATACAACGAAATAAAGTACATATATCCTTCTTATCTTAAACATTTTTATTATAATAATTAGAAGAATTGACGGGATATTTTGTGGAACTGGCAGAAATGACTTCTGAATTAATATTTCAAAAAATGACAATTACAATATGGCCACCAAGCGATAATCACTTAAATGATTATCACTTATTAATTACATCCTTCTATACAGATTGTTAACTGGACAGTTACTTATAGGGGAACAGAATGGCAACACTGCCTATTGAGAACGCATGCACTTATAGGATTTTCTGCCGACTCGTCCCGTCGCGTCGTCTATCGACGAGCAGGCCGAGATTGCCATATTTCAACCATAAAGCTCTTGCCGCGAGTAATAAACAAATTAACAATCTGTATAGGAAAAATATACACAGAGCTTTATAGTAATTTTATTTCAATAGTTATTAGGCATGCTAAAAACCTTTTATTTATATAAACCGTCTATAATAACCAACAAACCAACTGCTTTAGGAGCCTATATACAGGGTGGTCCAAACTGTATTCCGGAAACTTCGGCAGCATATTCTGCAGATAAAAATAAGTAAAAAAGTTCGTATAAATGTATGTCCTAAAATGCTTAGTTTCGGAGATACAGGGTGTAGAAGTCTCATTTTTATTTCGATTTTTTCTAAATAATTTGTGAAGAATTTCAATATTTGGATGAAAATTGGTGTCTGTAAGTTTTTTGATATGAGAAATTTGATTTTGATGTCAATATGACTCCTACTAATAGAGGGCGCCACCTACATGTGTTTTGACTGTTTTGAAGCCTAATAAATTTTTGTCCGTACCTGTATAAAACTACCGAGCGAAAAAATATACATCTCTGTGACTTTTTACGGAAAAAATATCTCTTTGTAAACCTTTGAATGGAAATAATCAATACATGTCATTCTGACGAGAAATTAACATGTTGAGTAGATAGTTATTTCACTGAAATAATAAATTTGGGAAATTTTTGTTTTTTTAAATTAATCATAAATTTTTCTGCAAAAAATGACGATAAAACAGTTTCTGTTGAACTTTTAACACAAAAACATTTCAAATTTATGATTTCAGTCTAATAACTATATTTAGTCAACATGTTTAATTTATGTCAATGATGACAGGTTTTGATAATTTCGATTCCAAATATCTCGAAAACCATTACTCGTAGCGATTTTCACCATGAGACCTTTTTCATGTAGAAAACGTCGCAAATGTATATTTTTTTACTCAGTAGTTTTATACAGGTACGGACGAAAAGTTATTACTCTTCAAACCAGTTTAAAAATATGTAGGTGGCGCCCTCTACTAGTAGGAGTCACATTGACATCAAAATCAAATTTCTCACGTCAAAAAACTTCCAGACACCAATTTTCATCCAAATATTGACGTTACTTCAGAAATTATTTGAATGAAATCGAAATAAAAATGAAACTTCTACACCCTGTATCTCCGAAACTAAGCATTTTAGGACATACATTTATATGAACTTTTTTACTTATTTTTATCAGTAAAATATGCTGCCGAAGTTTCCGGAATACAGTTCGGACCACCCCGTATACAGGATACCCCAATATTCCGTAGACATAGAACTACTACGTTTTTTGGAATCAAAATAAGATTGGAGGCAATTTACAAAAGTACTTCGTTTATCCGTTTGACGGCATCAAACTATAAAAAAACGAAAACATTTTTCGAGATATTTTAAGAACCGGTATTGCGATTTGAATGAGATTTGGAGTTCCTATGTTTTGCTAAGCCCTTTAACATTTGATTTACCCCAAAAAAAAACAAGCATAATTACCTCCACTCCTACATAAATTTAAGTAGGAATATTTTCCAACTCCACTAAACATCTAATGATTTAAGTAAGAAAAATCTTCGGATTGTTACGGGGTTTTAAATAGGACCCTGTCTCATGAATAAACACCTCAGTTGATTGAAGCTAACAAACAACAGCGAATGTAGATTCTGTGGAGAAAATGGGGAAACACCAGAACACCTCATCACTGAGTGTGCCGAGACGACAATTATTCGTGCCATAAACTTTGGTACTACTGATATCGGAGATGTAGAACTAACCTGGGTAAAACCGTCCCAGGTACTCGCTGTTGTCAAATCTCTATCTTTGCTATAAGGTTGTAGTGGTTAAGTGATCTTGAGAAAAAAAGTGATCTTGAGGCTTTTTGATCATACTGTAACCTACCACAAATGTAATGTAATGTAACAGTGACCAGTTAATTTTTTTTTGTTTAATAAAGAGGCAATTTGGTTGATGATAATTCTAGACATTTCATAACTTTCACTTACAAAATTCATCTGCTGAGAAATGTTCGTGCCAGTAATCTCCAGATGGTCCATTTGTCATTAAAAGCTGGTAGTTAATATTGATACCCTAGAATATTTTTACAAATTATTTGTGTCGTTGCTACTAGAAATCAACTTTTACCTTTGTTCCATAACAATTACTGATTGCTATAAACCACCATCGTTCCCTAGAACTCTTAAATCGCCTCGCATTATGACAGCTAACTGTTCTACTTCTCCGGACTATATTTGTAACAGGCTGTTTGGCAGGTACTGATCTTTTTTTAATGGGATGAACTGTCGATTGTGTACTATCCACGGTCTAATAAAGAGAAAGAAAAATAGTAATTAAATTTGTTGAAACAGATCTAAATAAAGTACATATGTCTATAAAATATATGCAGTCTCATATAAAAAAAATTAGGTAAATTTGTTATTCTGTATCTACAAGTCATATACCAAAAGTAACATAACAAACGCAACAGAAACATTAATATTAAAGATATTCAAAAAAAAAACAAAAGTGTCTCATATATCAGTGAGTTATGCTAATTTTTTTTATCTCTAATAATAATTCTATTATTTATTATAATATCAAATAGATACTATATATGGTATATACAGAATCACTTTCACTTGAATTTAGACAAGAATATTCGGGTAATTGGTAACATAGGTAGAATGATCATAAAAAATGCTCAACGGTCCTTTTTGATGCTAGGCAAGCACTTCATAAATAAATAAATAATAAAGTGCGACATGAACTAATGACATTAATGATTTAATTTTACTGAAATCAACGGTCGAACCAACTTAATAACAAATAGTATCAAGTAAATTTTATATTACTGGTGAAATAAAGAAACGCCCTATATTGAAATGATCGAAAAAAGGCGTCAGCGATGGCTATGAAATGAAGATCGCTGTTATTTTATATGTAAAATTATATGGGGAATTCATCGATGTTTATTTTCAAAGCAACTGGACTCCGTTTTTTTTTGATCTTACGGTACATCGCAATCAAGAAGTGTGTTGGTCATTTGCTCTGTACGAAGACAGATAAACAATTTTTATAAGAAATTAAATTATGTTTTTTTGCTGCTAAAACCAAAGCGTGTGTTAATAAAACTTTTTGATCATACCGTATATTTCAACATGTCCAACTGGCGAATTTAAATATTTAATTTATTTTTGTTAGTTTAAAAACTATAGTAGCACAGTGACCCGATAATTAAAAAGAGACATGTATGTGCTAAAAGCGACTAAAAGATATTTTAATCACTTTTAGCACAGTTCTAATTTATTAGAACGAAAAAACTTATAAATAAACTAATTTTATTGTATATTTTGCATAATTCATTTGGAATTGCATTTTGCAAAGACATAAACCATTTTACAAAGATAACAATTCTTCTTGATGCCGTTTAAGCATTTGTATGTTAACAAGTTAGACAGCAAAAGTTTAAAAGATTTTGTGCGTATATTGATTCTATACTCGTATTTTAGATAGACAATTATTTAAAATTAAAGAAATGTTTATCATAATCAAATATATTATGCATATCCTTTTATGATACCCATGAAATTCCGTATAGTCAAAAAAACCGCCGTCTAAACTGACGCCATTTTTTTCGGTCATACTGTAGTAACTGCTGTAATATATCTATATCTATAATAAATAATACAATATATGATTACACAATAAATATGATAAAAACATTTTTGAAATATTTAAAACTAATTTACAGGGTGGTCTGAACTGTATTCCGGAAACTTCGGCAGCATATTCTACACATAAAAATAAGTAAAAAAATTCGCATAAACTTATGTCCTAAAATGCTTCGTTTCGGAAATACAGAGTGTAGAAATTTCATTTTTATTTTGATTTTTGCCTAATAATTTCTGAATTAAATTCGGTATTTTGAGGGTTTTTAACATGATAAATTTGATTTCGATGTCAATATGACTCCTACTTTTGTCTTTTTCTTTTTAAAGATGTACAATATTCTGCCATTCTCGAGATATTTGTATTCTTAATAATCAATACATGTCATCAGTTACAAAAATTAATATTAAATGACAAAAATGTCAAAAGTCATTCTATTCAGAATTAGTGATGGGTTGTTATTTAACTATCTGTTATTTTATAACAATTATTTATAAATATAACGCAACCGTTACTACTTCTAAAAAATAACAGATATAAAGTAACGACACGTAGAGATCGGCCGCTCGTGTAACGAAAAACGAAGTCGGCGCTCTGCACCGCCCCGAAATTCTATCCTGCTCCTGCTCAAATTCCAAAAAACAACGAGTATGGATGGAAAACATGTTATTTCGTCAACCATCGATACAGGCGGCGCGACAACGGACAACGGAGTGGGGAATGCGCCACGGCGAACGTAGCTGCTTCGGTCGATCCCGTCGACGGTCGTATTGGGCTTACAACAGCTTAAAAATAATAGGATATAAAAGAAGCAGGTTTTTTGAAACAGTTGCGGGGGCATAACGCCTGGCGGTCGAGATAACAGGAGTGGGAAAGGAGGGCTGCTGCATCGGTCGATTGTCGATGGAGGCTCGCAACGGGTTGGAGAAGCAGTCATTTTAGATACGTTGTTTTTCAACCTGTTACGAGCATAACAGAGTGGCGGTCGAGATAATCGGAGTGGGAAAGGAACGCTGCTGCATCGGTCGATTGTGGATGGAAGTTCGAAACAGGTTGGAGAATAACGCATCAGTTGTTTTAGATACATTGCTTTTCAACCTGTTACGAGTATAACGGGCGGAGGTCGAGATACTATGGCGCTGTATGTTTCAGTACGTTATTAAGTTTCAATATTTAGGTATTTATTTATTCTGAAAAATTTTCAGAATAATATTTTGAGATTTTTTAAAATGTATACAGGGTGTTTTGAAAAATCTGGTCATTGATTAATCGCGATCCTGCTTAAAGCCCTTGACGTAAAAAGCTGATTTTTGGAAAACAGATTGACTTTAGGGTGTAGAGGTTCGATAAGAAGGGATTTTTCGAAACTCGAATTTTAAGGGGGTGAAACCACCCTCAAATATTAGAATATTTTTTTATTTAAAAACCGGTGAGTTTTTCGGAAAAACTCTTAAACACGTATATTTTATTTCGTTGTTTTACATATTTTAAGATTTTTTAAAAATATATACAGGGTGTTTCATAAAATGTGACCATTGAGTAATCACGATTCTGCTTAAACTGCTTGACGTTTAAAGCTGATTTTTGGGAAACGGATTGATTGTGGGGTTGAGGTTCGATAAGGAGGGGTTTCTCGAATCTTAAATTCCAAGAGGGTGAAAACGCCCCTCAAATATTAGAATATTTGTTATTTAAAAAACGGCTAGTCTTTCGGGAAAACGCTTGGACACGCATAATTTATTTTGTTTTTTTTACATATTTTGAAATTTTTTACAAAATAATACAGGGTGTTCCAAAAAGTTGAGTAATTGATTCACACGATTCTGCTTAAACTGCTCGACGTTTAAAGCTTATTTTTGGCAAATGTGAGAAAATTTTATCCAGTTTGTATGTTAATAGAAATTCTTGCTTTGCTTTATCATCACCATTACAAATTATTAATTCGACGCGAACGAAGTCGCGGGTACACGCTAGTTTAAGTGTAAAATTAATTCGAACTCTAGTGTGTAGTTGGTTTACTTATGAAGAATATACTACACATTTTCTTATATTGCTATTTTTGACCGCAAATGGTAAAATTATAACTAAGAGCTTCTCGCCCCTCGAGTGAGATGCACCCTGTACACTGCTACGCAATTCAGGATCTACGCCGATCGAGGGGCAAGGCGTAGGTAGATCGGAATGTATACGTATAGACGAGTGGCGGAATTTTGGCTTTTTTATATCGCAATTTGTAAACAGCGCTTATTTGTAAACAACGACCGTTTTTAGAGAGGTATTTTAGATAACAATCGATATTTAGAAATGTTTTGACACCCTGGAAATACTACCACCGAGCATGTCATTGCTGCAACTGGTAACTGCGTTAATACGCCTGGCGGTGACCGCCTCATACTCTTTCAGATATTTAGCAATAAAATAAAGAAACCTGTTATTTTTAAGCTGTTATTTTAAGCTGTTTTTTTTTATAAATAACTATAACAGTTTCAACTGTTATCTAAAAATAACAGTTTTGCCCATCACTATTCAGAATGTCATTTTTTATCAAAAAGTAAAAAAATGCCGAGGATACCATTTAAAAATTAAAAGTTGTAATCATTTCCGGTGAAACATGAAGTGACCAAAACTAGTTAAATACATTAATCAATCCTGATGTATGTCATATAACATACCAAATATCGTTTTTTTTATCTGAAAAAATAAAAAAGTTATAGGGGGTTGAGCCACTTTTCAAAAAGATTACAAAAAGAAATACACCCGGTATAATCAAACGGCGATTCTTTAAAAGTAATAATTATTTAGCAATTGATTTTATTACTTACCATTTCAGTAATTAAAATAATATCTTCCATTGTTGTCGTGGGATAATCTAAATTTAACTGCGTTGTAGTATTTACAGCGATACTCAAAGTAGTCGTAGATTCTGAAGAATCATAGCTTGTAGGTGTCGAACTTGAGATATCAGTCCCAAAAGTAGTAGTTTGCAATTCTTCAGTAGTTGTTATTTTTATGGTCGTAGGTGTAACTTTAACCTTTTTAACTTTAACGGTTCCTTAAATAAAATATTATGTTTTTATTTTTTTATATACTCAGATGCAAAAAAAACAACGGAGAAATTTTTGGTCAAATTTAAAGTGTTATAATTTTATTATTTTTAGCCCTATTTTCATGATTTTTTTAGCAAAGTGTATATAATTTTAAAAACTTTAATTCGCAAACTAAGTTTTTTATAAACTTCAGTATTTGGCATATTATACAGGGTTAATCGAGGGGTTGTTTTTTACCTTAACTTTAAAACACTCAGTGAAATAATTTCGAGTGTAAATTTTCTTAAAAATTTTACGGTCAGAACCATGTCGCTTGAGCATTTTGTATTTTGGATCATGTCCATACATGCCTTGGTTAATTTTTAGGAGCGAAATGAACTTGCCACCAACAAATTGCAATTTTTTCAATGATCATTTCTTTTTGAAGTAATTTTTCAATATGACAAGGCCGTTTTGGTGATTATTGTGAACAATATAGCGTATGATCGAAAAAAAAACGGCGTCCAGTTGGCTTGAAAATGACGATCGATGACATTTCCCATATAATTTTACATATAAAATGACAGCGATCTTCATTTCATAGCCATCGCTGAGGCCGTTTTTATTCGTTCATACGGTACTACGTATACTACTATGAATTCACCATCATGTTTGACGTTTGGGAAATGCTTGGCAGGAGGATTAGAGGTCGCGAAGTTGTACCAGCTTCATTAAATGAACTTCGCTAGGTTCTTAAAGAAGAATGAGAAAGCATAACGCAATATGGTATAGGCAACCTCAATGACAGTATGATCGGACGTATACGGGCAATTATATCAGCCAAGAGAGGCAATACAAAGTATTGGGGTAATTTTTACAATTTTTTTTCTGTTAGTATACTTGAGCATTACAGTTGTTGTCTTTAATATCGTTAGTTCTGTTGTCGTTATTAATGTTTATTAAAACAGTTTCGTTAGTCTTTAACGTTTTTTTTTTTAATTTAGTATAGAGTATCCAATGCAGCGTAATACGACGTTACGACAATAGTCACCAAAAACATCTCGTCATATTAAAAAGTATATCAAAAAGTAATGATAATTGAAAAAATTGCTAATTGATCGTGATCAATTCATTTCGCTCTTAAAAATTAACCAAAGCATGTATTGACATGAATCAAAAAACAAAATGCTCAGGAGTCATGGTTCTGGCCGTAAAATTATATTTTAGGAAAATTCACAAACGAAATTATTGCACAGGGTATTTAATTATATAGATACTATTAAGGATATCTTCAAAACACATCTACCTTTGTTTTTAGAAGCCCACTTATTGGTTTTGGGAATGTTTATAGTATACAACGGTGTAGGAGTTGTTATCACTATCGGTGTAAACTCACATCCTGCAAATTCTTTAGCTTCCGGAATTCTAGCAGTTAAATTGACAATCTGATTTTGTTGAATATTCAGTACTGCTTCCTTTTCTTCGCAAGTCTAAAATTCAATTTTCTTATTACGTATACCCGGACCGCATTATTTTATATACCGAGTGCGTCTCAAAAATGGCTGACCTCTTTTTATTTTTTCAGATAAAAAAAACGAAATTTGGTAGATTTAGTAGGTGACATAAATTAGGATTGATTGACGTATTCAATTGTTTTTAGTCACTTCCTGTTTCACCAGAAATGACAACAACTTTTAATTTTTAAATTGCACCCTCGGTATTTTTTTACTTTTTTTGATAGAAAATGTTACTCTGAGTAGAATGACATATCATATTTCAACTTTTGACATTTTCTCATATAGTTTATTTGAAACAGTTTGAAATTGTAACATGCGGATCATAACGAAAATTTGACTCGAAATACCAAAGGTGTGTGGTACCAAATTATTCGTAAAAAATACTTTTTTCAAATATGCTAATGAGCCACACACCCTCGTTCCATTTGAAAAAATTGAGATATGATTAAAAATACGATTTGGGATCTTTTAACTACCAGACACGAAAAATACTAGATGATCAAATCACAAAATCAAAAATCTATTTTTCCATGGCTCCTTGATTAAAAATTGGCGTTTTTAACAAAGCCATGGCACTTTAGATTGAAATTTAAAATATATGTTTTTTTTAAAGCGAAAATGTCAAAAGTTAATTTGTGATATGTCATTCTATTCACAGTGACATTTTCTATTGAATAAAGTAAACAATACCGAAAGTGTCATTTAAAAATCAAAAGTTGTCGTCGTTTCCGGCGAAACAGGAAGTGACCAAAAACAATTGAATACGTCAATCAATTCTAATTTATATAATATACCAACATACTAAATCTCGATTTTTTAACTGAAAACAAGTTTTATAAAAAGTTATAGGGGTGAGCCACTTTTCAGACGCACCCGGTATAAAACGACAAAGATGTTCCTTTCCAAGTCAACTCTGACGCCTTTTTTTTATCGCATATGATTCTTTATACCGTAAGATCGAAAAAAAGCGGCGTCCAGTTGACTTGGTAATGACAATAGATGACATTCCCCATATAATTTTACATTATAAAATGACAGCGATCTTCATTTCATACCCATCGTTAGCGTCAGTTTTTTTTCGATCATATTATACCGTATGATCGAAAAAAAAACGGCGTCAAAGACGACAGGGGTGTGACAATCGATGATTAGTTTATCCAGGTCAATCTCTAGACGTGATTTACTAAAAAGTGACATAAAAATTGTCAAAAATTATTATCACTAATTATAGAAATTTTAAAAAGGGATAGAACGTTTCCAGACACAAAAAAACCTATTTAAAAAAATATTTTTTTCTAGAATTTTAAACTAGGTACACCATTTAAAAATCTTTTTTATCGAGTATAAAAATAAATTACAACCTTCTTAAAGCCAACTATCAGTAAGCGCCATTACGATATAAAGAAGAGTAAGGGCCAAGTAATGAAGTTTAGGGCTTGACCTCGACAAAATTATCATCGATCGTCATTTCCAAGCCGTCCCTGACGCCTTTTATTTTCAATCTTATGGTATATGGTACCGTATGATCGAAAAAAAATGGCGTCCAGTTGGCTGGGAAATGACGATCGATGACATTTCCCATATAAATTTACATATAAAATGACAGCGATCTTCATTTCCCAGCCAACTGGACGCCGTTTTTTCTCGATCATACGGTATTAAGAATATGCGTTTCGAATAAAAAGAAGTAAATAGGTACTATACGGTTGAGAAAAATGCGTCATAGTAGCCTTCGAAACACAAATTTTTATATTAAAAAGAGTGGAACCATTGTGACTACATTTTTTGATAATAGGTAGGTACTTTACATTACCTTATTTGATTTATACACAGATGGCCATTGATCTTCTGTATCGTAGTAAAGAAGTAAATTCAAGTCTCCTTGATCTTCATTATAGTCAATTACATATTCAAATTCACCCTCTTGGGATAAAAAACAAAATCTTGCCAAAAAGGCCCAATTCTAAAACATATAATATAAAAATACAGCATTTTTTCAATAAAATGCTAACTTTTATACGCACTTCATTTGTTTTTAAAGTTCCTTCTACATATTTAGATTCGCTTACATTACGAAATATAAAGTACATTCCCAAAAATATTCTCAGTAAAATCATGTTTAGAATTTGATTAAAGTAAAATAGTTGTTTTTATATAAGTAAATTGTATCAAGAACACCACAGTTTCTAATAAATTAAGTAAATATTTTTTGAAATACAATCAATCGTCCAAAATGTTGTCATAGAGACGCAGATGCATTTTTATTACAAACACTTGAGACTTACAACAATTCATGATCAATTATGATTTACTAACCTTTTAATTTATTACTTTGTTGAAAATTATAACAAAACATCTTTAAATAAAGTAAATTAATTTGATTTACCTACGATCTACCTTAATTTTTAAAACATTATTCAAAAATTTGGCGTGTGTGGCGCCATCTATGAATAAAGTTCTGAATTTGTTTCTCTATATCTAATTTTATTCATTCCAGATGGCATGTCATCTCTGCGAAAAAAGAAAACTGTTTTATCTTTAATTATAATTAATTCTGTTGATTCTGAATATCTATTTTGGGTGGGGTTAACAATTCTTTAATTTTAGGTGATTATTTTAATCCAATGGCATTTATATTTACTTCTCTTATTGGTTGTTTAATTTATCTCTTCTAAAATATAAAACAAATATGGGTCCGCTTTGCTAACAGTTCATAATAATAAAAACATTATATTTGAGGTTAAGGAAGTAGGTGACAGTTTTCAGATATACCTCCCAGTGGCATACAATTTGTTTTTGCAAAATTTAATTGTGTGGTTCATAGTGAGTCTCGTTATTTTGAGTTATTTCGATCGACAAATGAGTGGTATAACGTTGCAGTGAAAAAATAATGTGAAAAGTTGCTCCAGTTTGTGGCAGTTGATGTGTGAAAGTGCTAGGACAAATTTTGGACGACGCCATTTTGATTTCCAGCTAGTATTTTGTAAGTTCATGTTTCTTTAGACATCTATTTAGTAAACAATAGGAGCCCCCAAATAACATTCTGAGATAGTTATATAAGTATTTTTCAAATAGCAATAGGTTTGCATCGTCCTGTGAGAAACCCATACTGCTAAATAATATTTACAAACTTCAGTTGTATTTTTTAAAATCCACTCCTAATATTATCTTATTTTCTTATAACTAGTCAAATATTAGTGTCAGTCGATATATATCAATTTTTCAATATCAAAATAATGATATACAAACTTCAGATTCATTTATTTATGTTCTTGTGTTTCAACATAATAATCATTTATACTTACAGGTTTGTAAATGTTTCTAATCAAATAAAAATTATTAACAGTTCAATAATAAATAGTTATATGATCACCAGCTATATGATCGATTATTTTATATTATTTAATTGTAAATATTATAATGTGGCCATAACATTGCAACAAAAAATACATTGGTCCACAATTGTTTGATTTTCTTGCAACTTTAATGGGATTTTACATATTTAAAATTGTTTGTTATATATGTCCTTCCAATACATTAAAAGAGTAATATAATTTTAGAAAAATGAACACAAACTGATTATACAAAAGTCAACTAAAAATGGCACCAGTGCCTCGTCCAGGTAGTTTACGTGATCCTGATATTGCTGAACTATTTTTCAAGCATGATCCAGAAAAAATATTTGAAGACTTGCGTGAAATTGGTCATGGCAGTTTTGGGGCAGTAAGTTAAATTAAAATATTTATATAAATTTTTATAAGTATTCTTTAAAATAACATATAAGCTGTCTATCTAACTATCTACTAGCTTTTATCTCTGCTTTACAACAGAAAATTATAGTAGAATCATCTTAGCTTAATTAAATCAGTACAACTGGGTCTTTTACATCTTATAGTAAGACTTTTGGAGTATTTTTGACATAAATAATTTCAAGGAAAACGTTTATTAACTATAATTATCTTTATAACACTATTATCTAGTTGTTTAAAAAAGTTGTATAAAAATTTGATGAAAAGTATGTTCTCTTTTTAGGTATATTACGCACGGTGTCTCATTACAAGAGAAATCGTGGCTATTAAGAAAATGTCTTTTACAGGAAAACAAAGTTTGGAAAAGTGGCAGGATATTATAAAAGAGATTAGGTAAGGTGTTCAAAGAATTGTAAAGTGCACAAAATATGTAAAATGTTATATATTTTTTTTTAGATTTTTAAAACAATTAAAACACCCAAATACTATTGAATACAAGGGATGTTATCTTAAAGATAATACAGCTTGGCTTGTTATGGAATATTGTCTTGGTTCAGCATCTGATATCTTAGAAGTTCATAAGCGACCTTTAAGAGAAGAGGAGATATCTGCTATTTGCGATGGAGTCCTTAGAGGACTTAGTTATTTACATCAGTTTGGGAGAATTCATAGGCAAGTAAAATTGTTACCAATGTTATTACTGCTATTATATGTTAATATTTATAATTAAATTAATTTAAAATGTACCAGACAACTTATGGAAAAAGATATAGGTAGTTTACTAGTTTACTTACTGCCAAACTACCTATTTTTTTTTAGGTTTATTTAGGCTTTTTAAATTATACCACTAGCTAACAAAAATCTTAAAATTACATGGTATACAACACACAACAATGTACCTCATATACAGCATGATAATAAATGCTACAAGCATGGAGTAACAATAGAATAGAGTAGAATGAGTGGAAGGGGGGTTAATCACCGCGACCTTGATCTATGTAGTAACAATAAATAATACTTCAAAACATAGACTCACATAAATTTAACCATAAATATTAGGGTGGGTCAGGAAAATCGACTATTTTTTTTCACTTTATACTCTGAAAAAAGGTTGCTAGACATCTCAAAAAAATTCTCTCCAAGTATGAGCTTTTAATTTTAATAGGAAGGTCCTCTCCTTTCAGTTTTCTATTTTTTCCTTATTATTAGAAAGAAAAATTCATATCTCGGTATCTAGTATTTGGAAAAATATCTCGTCCCATTTATTTGTAGGAAGTTGGATTCTCTATAAAAAAGGTTTCTTACAATTTTTTTGTTAAGCCCACCTTTCGAAAGTTATTAAAGGTTGAAGTTTGATTATTTTAAAGCTGTTTTCTTTTTCACAAAAACGTGGCTTAACGATAACCATTTAGTCGCACGGCGAGGTTGTCACATATGCTTTAGTATACAAATGAATGAATGCTTTTATTCGAATGAAACCATTCGATAGTTGAAATCATTCATTCAGTAACCATTCGATAGTCTAATTCATTCGATAGTTCCCATCGCTATCGATGATACCAAAAAACGAAAAAGAAAACAAAGAATTTGGATGAAAGAACTAAAATAACACACACATACACTACACAACGTGTTGCGCAAACAGTACTGTTGCACAAAAGAATTCAAACATTCTTGAAACTCATCAAACAATTGCGCAACGCATCAAACACTACCATACATTGACAACTCGTTGCGCAACGGCCTGCGTTGAGCAATTTGTTTGATAATGTATGGGCCGCTCATGTGCATTGAAGTTTGAGGATGAATATCTTTTAAACGGTTAATTTAATCGACTAATCATAAGAAACCATTTTTGTAGAGCAGTGGATTCTCTACAAAACCATAAGTTGCGCGTTTCATAATGATTTTTAGCCGACCATACCAACAGGTATGGTAGGCTATTAAGATCGACAAAAAAAGTTTTTTTTAATTTCACTCAAAATTAGTTATTTGGATCATAAATAACCTAAATACAATATATTTTCATGGTGTTTGTTTGTCTGTCTGTCCGTCTGTCTGTAACACGATAACTCAAAAACCGCTAAAGCGATTTTAACCAAATTTGGCACAAAAATACTGTGGCACCCGAGAATCTGGCTATTAGTTTTTGGTAGGGGTGGTAGATTGGTAAGGGGGTATGGTAGGGGGTTAAACATTTAAAAAAATCGTAACTCCAAAATTACAGTAGTTAGCGAAACGCGGTTTTCAATTTAAGATTAGGAATAATATTTGCATCAAAATTTGTAATAACATCAAAATCAGTTAAAGTCGCAAATTTTAGATAATTGAAACTAAAAGAACTGCCTAACGACTTTTTATTAACATATTTTAGTATGGGCGGCTATACGTGCCTCCCGGCGCCAATTTTTTGTTAACGAGTTATAAAATTTATTCAAAAAAGAAATCTGCCTTAGAATCATCAAACTTCAACTTTTAATAACTTTCGAACGGTGAGGTTTACAAGAAAAATTGTAAGTGATCTTTTTTGTAGAGTATTCAATTTCCTACAAATATATGGGACAAGATATTTTTCCAAATACTAGATACCGAGATATGAATTTTTCTTTCTAATAATAAGGAAAAAATAGAAAACTGAAAGGCGAGAACCTTCATATTAAAATTAAGAGCTCATACTTGGAGGGAACTTTTTGAGGTGTCTACCAACCTTTTTTTCAGAGTATAATGTATAAAACACCCTAATAAATATACATACAGGGTGCGTTTCCTACGATGTTCTCTATGGGTATCTCGGAAACTACTGGAGATAGAAAGTCGGTTAAATGGGGAAAGAATTGCAGTTTTGTGGGGTCATAAATATGCGCCTGTCAGATTTTTGAAAAAGTTCATGGCTTACTAGATATTTCGAAAAAACAAATTTCGGCTATTTGAAAACTTGTCCCTAATTCCATTATAAGCTATTTTAGACAGAAAGTTTTCAGATAAAAGTTGTAGATAATCACATCCTTAATGAGACCGTTTCCTCCGTTTTTTTCTAAAGCCTGTCATTTTTGACATATGACACAAACATAGTTTTTTTTAAATGTAAACCATAGTTGGCCATGACTTCATAAAAAGTGCCATTTTTAAGCTTTTTAGTGATATAAGCTATAATATCTTTTCTTCGAAAAATTACTGAGTTATAGCCAATTCTTATCATTTTTAAACAATTTCACTTAGTTAGCCATGGAAACAAGTTCAATCGCCGTTGCTTTCAGAAATGTGAAGCTGTCACATCCAAACTTTGTAAATTAAAATAAACAAAAATTGTAAATATGAATTTTTCAAATGAAGAAAAGCGTGTAGATACTCGCGCATCAATAGAGTGGTTCCAACATGATTTTCTTTATGACACACCACCCCTCGCCCCTCATAATGAAAAAAATGTTAAAAAATTATTTATATCATAAGTATATAAACGCAGAGATAGGAAGAGGTGGACTATTTGGGGCCTCTCCCCAAATAGTCCACTATTTGAGACCATGGGCCTCCTCGATCACCTGACCTATCCATTTTAGAATTTTTTATGCGGTATAGTTAACAATAAGGTTTTTAAGGCCATAAAGTGGCGGTACGAGAAAAGTTTAATTAAGTCGATCGGTCCTTGTGTGAGAATAGGTAGTAATTCAGTTTTAAAAAGATGTAACTCAAAACAATGGCGGATTTTTTGAACATTTTCTAAAATAACTTAAAGTGTATGTAGTGATATTATTTTTTTAAGTTTTAGTTTGTGTAATGTAAATTGTAAAGAACCGTTTAGTAATATATTGTGACTTTTTATAAGTTATAAATCATAACAGAATAAAAATACCATGCAATCTAAGTGAAATTAGTCAAGAAAGATAAGAATTGGCTATAACTAAATTTAACTTTTCTAACATGTTTTGAAAACCGTTCTTTATAAAATGTAACATTCACCGGTGGTTCAGTTGACGAAAATGTATGGCCAAGAAAAGTTGAACCAATAATCCTACACGCTTTTCTTCATTTAAAAAATTCATATTTACAATTTTTGTTTATTTTAATTTACAAAGTTTGGATGTGACAGCTTCACATTTATGAGAGCAAAGACGATTAAACCTGTTTCCATGGCTAACTAAGTGAAATTGTTTAAAAATAATAAGAATTAGCTATTAACTCAGTAATTTTTCGAAGAAAACATATTATAGCTTATATCGTTGAAATGCTTAAAAAATGGCGCTTTTTATAAAGTCATGGCCAACTATGGTTTCCATTTACAAAAACATATGTTTGTGTCATATGTCAAAAATGACAGGCTTTAGAAAAAAACGGAGGGCACAGTCTCATTAAGGATGTGATTATCTACAACTTTTATCTGAAAACTATTTGTCTAAAATAGCTTATAATGGAATTAGAGACAATTTTTAAAATAGCCGAAATTTGTTTTTTTTCCGAAATATCTAGTAAGCTATGAACTTTTTCTAAAATCTGAAAGGCGCATATTTATGACCCCACAAAACTGCAATTCTTTTCCCATTTAACCGACTCTCTATCTCCAGTAGTTTCCGAGATACCCATAGAGAACATCGTAGGAAACTCACCCTGTATATTATTTTAACAGATCTGCTTTCTGCTTCAATTTCTTCTTAAAGCTTAATAAAGATTTGCCATTTTTGATTGGGATTTTATAGTTATTTGTTGAGTATTACATTGAGCAGATTGAAAATGTATTAGTACTAGTAAAAATCTGGTTGTCGCCCTTTTTATAAATAAATAAAGAATTATTTAAAAGTAAAAATTTAGTCAAATTTGAAAGTTTAATCATCCATCAATTTAATCTCTGTTACTTATAAATATGATCTAGTTTTATTATGATATATCATTGTTATAATTTGATAAAATTATATCAGAAATAGAATTAGGTTTAGTCATTTTAGAATTCTCATATTATTTTTGATTACTTACACAGTCTATTTATTTTAAGATCAAAATACTTTTTTATGGTATTATTTGTTTACTGAATGTTTTTACTAGTGGATGTTTATTTTTAAAACTTAATATACGGGGTGATTGAAAAGTGGCCCACCCCTATACCTTTTTTATTTAAACGAGATTTGGTATGTTAGTGTATGACATAAATTAGGATTGATTGACATATTCAATTGTTTTCGGTCACTTCCTGTTTCACCGGAAATTACTTACAATTTAATTGATAGAAAATAACAGTGAATAGAATGACATTATTAAGTCAACTTTTGACTTTTTTACTTAAAATATCGTATTATAAATTTCAATCTGAAGTGTCGTAGCTGTGTTTAAACACTAATTTTTAATCAAGTAGCCTTGGAAAAATAGAATTGATTGTCTGATGTTTTTGGTATTTTGTCCTGGCCAGTTAAAAGATGCCCAAATCGTATTTCTAATCATATTTCATTTATTTTTAATGGAACGAGGGTAGTTCATTAGTATTTAGAAAAAGGATTTTTTTATGAATAATTTGGTACCACACACTTGGTATTTTGAGTTAAATTGTCGTTATGAACCGCATGTTACAAGTTCAAATAAACCAGTGTCATTCAAAAATTAAAACATGTAGTTATTTCCGGTGAAACAGGAAGTAGCCGAAAACAGTTGAATACCTCCAATAAATCCTGATTTATATCATATACTTACGTACCAAATCTCGTTTATTTATCTGAAAAAATAAAAAAGTTATAAGGATGAGAATACTCAACTTTTGAAATCCAAATCTATTTATTTAAATCGATATTAATCATTTTCACATTTTTAGAGATGTTAAAGCTGGAAATATATTATTAACTGAAAATGGAACAGTTAAATTAGCAGATTTTGGTAGTGCTTCTATTAAATGCCCTGCAAATTCTTTTGTTGGTACTCCATACTGGATGGCACCAGAAGTAAGTAGTCAGTTTACACTAAATAAATTTTAATTAATCAGTTAAAGTTTAAAGAGATATTACAATGTTTAAAAGAAAGTATTTTTTACATCTATGTATTACATTAGGTAATATTAGCTATGGATGAAGGTCAGTATGATGGTAAAGTTGATGTTTGGTCATTGGGTATCACATGTATAGAACTAGCTGAGAGGAAACCACCATATTTTAATATGAATGCAATGTCAGCATTATATCATATAGCTCAAAATGACTCACCTGTGTTGAGCTCTTCTGAATGGTCGAACGTATTTAAATATTTTGTAGAAGCCTGTTTACAGGTATAAGAGAATATACTTAATTGAAAATGAAATTTACTATAATATTTTTATGTTGAATTTTTAGAAATCACCACATATGCGACCAAGCTCGCAAGAATTACTGTCGCATCATTTTGTAGCTAGAAATAGGTCAACGAATGTTCTTATAGATCTTATACAGAGGACAAAAGCGGCGGTCAGGGATTTGGATAATTTAAATTATAGGAAAATGAAAAAGATCCTTATGGTGGACAATTGTGAAACGGAGAGCAATATTGATTCTTTGCCAGATGTCGATGATACTCCAGAAGAGCCCACAGGCGGGGATAGTTCAAAAAGCAACTCAGTTACCTCAGAACACTCGGTTCATTCTGTTGGGGTGTCAGCCAGTAGTCAGTCGAGTAGTACAAACAGCTTACCAGCAGGTACAGTTATTATTTATGTTTTATATTAATTTATGTCTTTTTTAACTGGAAAATGGCATTTTAACTTTTATGTTATCTATATGTATACAGAGTGTGTTAAAACATTTGCATCAACTTGGATTTCTTATTATTGTGTTATTGAAAAAAAAAATGAGGAATTTTTTTAGTGTGTTCAATAACACTGGGGACTGTCATTGTTAAATTATAAAAAAGGTTACATATACAAAAGGTATGGTTAGGATACAAGATATTGAAAAAGGCCAAATAGAAAAGTTTAAAATTTGATTCTACCCTCATGTATTAGTTATCCAGTCTTATAGTCTGTTCAACGACAAAATTCTTGACAGTGATAGATGTGTCTGTCATTTTAATTTCAAAATAGTTTATTTTATTTTACAAAGAAAAATATATAAGTTTTTATAAAACTGAAAAAATCTAATTGAGTCATTTTTTTAAATTACGGCCTGTGCTAATACAAAACAAACAAGAGTGAATTTTAAACAAAACAACACATATACCAAAAAAATATATTTATAAGAACTATTTCTTACTTTCAAACTTCAAGAAACTTCTTGCAATCATTATTATATTTATCAATATAACTTAGATATAAATATTTTTTTTAATATTGCACAGAAATAAATAAAACCAAACATAAATATAATAAAATGTTTTATAACACTGAATTTTATACCTTAAAAGTTGATTAACTAACTTGTATCTTATTTTTTTTTTAAACTGGTACCTTTTGACATTATTTTCCCTCAATTTTTCTTCCACATTATATGTATAAGGTGTATTATGACAAAATTTTACTGACTAAATAAAGAATATAATTAAAGTATTTTTGGCAGATCTGTAGAAGAAAATTATAATAGATTTGTCATATTATGAGATAATTTGTGATTGTTATTTATTTGTTTATTGTTTATTTTCAATTTTCAGTTAATTTACTATTTTTTGTATCTGTAATAACTCAAAAACAAATTGGTTAAAAAATCTTAAACTTGCTTCTTGACTCTCGTCCAGTTTGATACATTGCTTCTGCAACATTTCAGCAATACTTTGTCCATACTGGTCGCCTAATAAAGCTAATTGTCGTCTTTGTTCCTCTTTCAATTTCTTAATGACAGTCTTCTGCTGCTCTTTAGGAGTAGTGAGTAAAATTTGCGCCTTCAAAGCCTTATATTGCTTTGTTATATTTGTTGTTTGTACTTTACAAGTATCTCAACATTATTTACGGTTTCATTCTTTGTTTTTGTTTATGCGACTTTGGTTGCTGCTCCACTTCTAACGCGTGCTTCTTTCACATCTCACGTTTCGTCCCCTTCATGTATTCAGCCGGGTTCTGCAGATCAGTGTCGTGCCGATTTTTCACTTGTACTTCTCTTAAAGCGTGCACTGCTTTTTGTTGACGATATTCTAATTCCTGAGTGTTTTTGTGATGTCGGAGCAACATTGTGTGGGCTTGTTCAAATTGCTGTTGTCTTTTATGTAACTCTTGCCGCCAATAAATCCTAAAAGATATAAATTAAATTACACAGCGTTAAATTACAATAGGGCTTAATTTTAGAATATAGAAGAAAGGTAACAAGACAGAATACTATTTGAAAAGCTGGATAAACATGTCAAAATATTTTTTTATCAGATGTGATGAAAACATTCCACATAAACTTTTGTTTTAAACTAAATAATAAAAAAAATCCTATTTGTGGCAAGCTTTTTGGCACACGCTAAAACATACAATTTTCGTTAATTCATATCAATGCCTGTCAGTACATGTGTCAAGGAATATAAAATATATTTTGTATTTTCAACAGTTTTTGTAGGAGGCGAGGATGGAACAACGAAGCGACATAGGCCCATTAACCACATGGCTGCTGTTGCTCTTAGTGAACACACTAGCGGAAACAATTTTGCAACAATAAGGACCACAAGCATCGTAACCAAACAACAAAAAGAGCATATGCAAGAGGAGATGCATGAACAAATGTCTGGTTATAAACGCATGCGTCGTGAACACCAAAGTGCTCTCTTAAAGTTAGAAGATAAGTGTAGAATGGAAATGGAAAGCCACAAGAATCAGCTAGATAAAGAATATGACGTCCTTTTGGCCAATTTCTGTAAAGACTTAGAAAAGCTGCAAACCAAACATCAACAAGAATTAGATAGGAAACATAAACAGAGCGCTGCTCTAGAAAAGAAATTAATTAAAGACATTACAAGTAGACAGGATACAGATAGGAAAGCCTTCGAAGCTCATAGGAAAAAGGAATATAAAGCGACTAAGGAAAGGTGGAAAAGGGAACTCTCTCAAGACGATTCTACTCCGAAACGTCAAAGAGATGCAACATTACAGTAAGTTTTTGTATTCCTATTGATTTTGTTGTATATAACATTAATTTAGAAATTTACTATACATTTATATTTAGTTATATTTTAACCCTATGATTACCCTAATAGGTTACTTATATCACCTCGGATAAACTTTCATAAGGACTACTTTAATAAGAATCATACTAAATTTAAGAAAAATATAGGTATGTTTAGGGAAGAACTATCGAGTCAAGTTATTTTATTTAGAGATAAAATGCAGAACCAACATTTAACACTGTGTTATGCAGACAACTTTGAAACTTATTGTTTACGTCAATGGGTTGGCGAAATCCCTGTTTAAATTCCTTCAATTCCATATAATCCTTCAGTCCTATGGTGTATTCAGAAAAACAATTAAAAACTATTGGAAGAAGGACCTCCAAACCATATTTTGAATACCAATACTAAATTAAAATCGTGTATTCGTCATTTTAGTGAAAATGTTTATAAAAGTGAACACTGGTTAAGTGGTTGTAAGGCACTCATTAAACTTTTTTGTTGACCGTCTACTATTTTATGTAACATACATATATGTTGACGGCTTTGTTTATTTACCTAAACTTATTTTTTTTTAAAATTGGTTTGATTATTTTTTTTTGTCCTGTTATATTTTTTGTAACAGGTAAGATTGACAGGTAAAAAGTTGTGTGGACGGGGCTTATGGAAGTAGAAATTAAAATTAAATTAAAAGTGGCAAAGATATGCTATTAGTTAGGTGTATTGCATAAGTTGAGAATTATAAAATTCACTAATCTGTGTCTGTTCCTACATTTTACTTACTAATATATTTTTAATTCTAGAAGCCAAAAAGATAATTTAAAACAGGTAGATGCTATAGAAGAAGACAGATTACTTAGAGGACAAAGAGCTGAATTAGACTTGGAATTGAGAAAATTCCGAAGAAAACGGTTAATTGGCTATCATCAATTGGAACAGGTATATCTAAGTTAAGCCCTAATGTCTAAACACTTTCTAATTTAATTTATACCTTTTAGGATTTATTGCGGCAAGAGTTGCATAAAAGACAACAGCAATTAGAACAAGCTCACACAATGTTGTTACGACATCATGAAAAAACTCAGGAATTAGAATATCGCCAACAAAAAGCAGTTCACGCTTTAAGAGAAGAACAAGTGAAAAATCAGCACGACACTGAACTGCAGAACCAGGCTGAATACATGAAGCGGACGGAGCGTGAGATGCGTAAGAAGCACGCGTTAGAAGTGAAGCAGCAACCAAAGTCGCTTAAACAAAAAGAAATGATGGTCCGTAAACAATTTAGAGATACTTGTAAAGTACAAACAAAGCAATATAAGGCTTTGAAGGCGCAAATTTTACTCACTACTCCGAAAGAGCAGCAGAAGACTGTCATTAAGAAATTGAAAGAGGAACAAAGACGAAAATTAGCTTTATTAGGCGACCAGTATGAACAAAGTATTGCTGAAATGTTGCAGAAGCAATGTATCAAACTGGACGAGAGTCAAGAAGTAAGTTTAAAATTTTTTAACCAATTTGTTTTGGGGATATTAGAGATTCTAAAAAATAGTAAATTAACTGAAAATTAAAAATAAACAAATAAGTAACAATCACAGATTATTTCATAATATGACAAATCTATTAGGATTTTCTTCTACAGATCTGCCAAAAATATCTTAAATTATATGCAACAAAATATATTCAATTAAACATTTGGTGTCCTCCATTCGCGAACTTTGAGTTCTGGGCTTTACGCCCTGGGGCTACTCGAGAACGGTTCTGAAAGGAGCTGTGCGCGATAGCCTGGTGCCTCCATATGGCGCGGAACAGTTCTGGAACTTTATGACTCAGTTGAATGGAGTGAGAGTATCGCGTTCTTGAACAGTTCAGAGCTGCACAACTGCGTGAATGGGGACAGCAAATGTTTTACACGAAAGTTGTCAACTAATCGGTAGACAACTGACGTTTAAAGCATTATATATCTGTCAACATAATCAACGGTGGTTCGCTCGAAATTGGTTATAAATTGTAAAGTGATTATACCTAGAAAAAATTGGAAAACCTGAAATACTATAAAATTTAAAACAATTTTGGAAGTGTATTATGATTATTTTAAGAATTGACAACTCTCAGTTTTCAAAAAACGCGTCAGCGATGACTGTAAAATGATGATTGCTGTCATTTTATATGTAAAATTATATGGGGAATGTCAACGACCGTCATTTTCAAGCCTACCTTTTTTTTGATCATACTGGATTGCAAATAAGTTTAAAGAAATTTTAGTTCACATTAAGATTTATTTTAGTTACAATTCCAACAAATGAAGGAAAGATTGCAGTACGAATTGGAAATTTTGATGGCTTATCAAAGCAAAAATAAAATGCAGGCTCAGGCACAAAGAGAAAGAGAAAAGAATGAACTACAACAAAGAGTTGAAGTGAGAAGGACGCTTTTAGAACAAAAGGTAATGCTCGTTATTTGTTTTAATAAGCACCAAATTTCAATAAGTATGTGTTGTAGATGTTAGCTGAGAATCAACGTTTTGTTGATGAACGCGGAGAACGAATTAGAATACTTCATGAAAAACAAGAAAAAGAAATAGAAGAATTTGATGAGGAATCTATTAGGATGGGTTTTAGGTAAGCCTTATTTTTATTTGATGTAATAAATTACACAAAAGGGCTATTTGATCTTGGATGCTGATCAAACAGTTCAATGATTTCACATGTTGAATAAAAAATACTAAAGGAGGAGTTTTAACACTACTGTTCAGCAATGGTTCAATGTCACGTCATATATTGTCGAACTCTCTCTTTGACTTGACAGCCAGATGAAAGAGATCGGTGACGTCATTACGGTATTTCGTAAATTACTGCATATTCTTTTTATTAATTGCCATTTGATTTGGGGTTATAATCTTACTGGCGGACCCATAGACTTAAAATAAAATATAGACTACACTATTTACATCTCAACGCGGACAAACAACCTTTTTTGTACACATGTTTACTTCTGGGTACAGTCGACCGAGCCTTCCTCATCCAGCCTATGTTGTCACGTCTTTAATATTATCAATATTTTTTTTCTTGTTATACACATATATTGAGATATTAATACTACAGTTTAATAAAGTAGGTTTTAATATTCCATAGATGTATTAAATAGTCCTTATACTACTAAATTATAAGTCGGATACTGTTTAATAAGGATAAGTTCTTTACAATATGACAACACCGATTAGAGGCGAGGGAGCCTATTCATTCATTTATTACCTTGTAGTACGCGTCGCACGTGTGTGGTAAAGCTTTGTTGCCGCTATCTCCCCGGCTGTATTAACGCATTTTCTTAGCTTGTAGTCCTTAAGTGTTTATTTTATTGACTTTTTATGTTCAAAAACTATAAAATATGGTTCGCCAGTGCCAAATTTGCAAGAAATTTGACTTAAATAATCCATTTAAGTCTTGAAACGACTTTTGACCGGTAGGCAACTCTCAATTTACCCATTGGCAGTCAGTGGCGTTGTTGTAGAAAGGCGCTTATTTAGATAATATTTTAGTAAAACGTAAAATCTGAATTTTTTCTTTTACATTACATTATTTACTTACTTACATTGTAACAAAATCATAATTATAACCCTGTTAATAATTAATAATGTTTTTATTAAAAGTATATTCCGGTTTATTCTAAAATTATCTTCAGAATCTAAAATAACATACAAGAATTTTAAAATGATATTACATTATGAAACAATATTTTTTAATATACCGGTCGTCTCAAAAGTGGCTCAACCCTATAACTTTTATTATTTTTTCCGATAACAAAACAGATTTGTATGTTAGTAGGTATATGACATAAATTAGGATTTATTGACGTATTCAATTGTTTTTGGTCTCTTCCTGTTTTACCGAAATGATTACATCTTTTTATTTTTAAAGGCACCCTCGGTATATTGCTACTTTATTCGATAAAAAATGACACTCTGAATAGAATGACATATCATATGTCAACTTTTGACATTTTCGCATATGGTTTAATTGTAATTGTAACACGCGGTTCATAACGACAATTTGACTCGAAATACCAAGTGTGTGGTATCAATATATTCATAAAAAATGCTTTTTCCAAATATGCTAATGAGTCACCCTTGTTCCATTTGAAAAAATTGACATATGTATGATTAAAAATACGATTTGTACATCTTTTAACCGGCCTAGACAAGACACGAAACCTATTAGACGATCAAAACTATTTTTCCAAGGCTCCTTGATTAAAACTTAGTGGATTGAAAAAACTGGATTGAAATTTAAAATAGGATATGTTTTTAAGCGACAATGTCAAAAGTTGACATATGATATGTCATTCTATTCAGAGTGTCATTTTCTATCGAATAAAGTAGAAATATACCGAGGGTGCCGTTTAAAAATTAAAAGTTATAGTCATTTCCGGTGAAACAGGAAGTGACCAAAAACAATTGAATGCGTCAATCAATCCTAATTTATTTCATATACTAACATACTAAATCTTGTTTTTTATTTGAAAATATAAAAAATTATGGGGATGAGCCACTTTTGAGACGCACCCGGTATAATAAAGACAGTACCGAGTTAAATAAATGTAGTTTTTATTTTATCCACTTCCTATCACCTTCCTTGCTTTAATGGAACAGATTTATGTTTTCTCTAATTTACATAATAAGACATCACTTAACCAGAAAAAAAATTACAACAATCATATTTTTTTTCTCTCCCTGTCGCCGATTCTATTATATCTGTGGAATAGATCCTGTTTTGATTAATATTAGGGGTTGTAAATGTTTGACTAAAATTAATAATTTATTATTAATATCAAAATTACCTAATTTCGATTATAAAATTTCTTCTATAACGTGTATTTTATTATTTTTATCCTTTTTGGACTCTAAATTGTTTTTTTTAACTTTTATTTAAAAAACCTGTCCTAAATCTTAATAAAATATAAAAAAGTTTAAATACGATACATTTTTAATTTAATTATAGCTTCATTAAAATAAAAAAATACCCGGCTATGATACGGAGAGTTCAGGTGTACTTGAGAAACGAAAGACAGTGTTGTGTTTCTCGGCAGAGTCGTCAGGGAACGACCGTTACGACAGAGACAACCTATCTATCGCTCGTGTCGCACTCGTTATAACCTAAAACAATAACACAACAATAACAAGACAGTGTCTGACCGCATGTTCCAGCTATTTATGAATGAGATGCTCAGTCTATATTTTATTTTAAGTCTATGGGCGGACCTCAATCAATGTCAAAATTAAAATTTGATTGTTGCTGTAAAACGAAATTCAATTTTTTTATTGCAAAAATGTCTCAAAGATTTAACTAAAGCGAACAAGAGCTCATTGCTAAGCCTATAAATTATTCTTCTCGAGAAAGAGACGCTGGTAGAACACTCTTGCCTGTGAACGCCATATATGAAGTAAGTACAATGCAAAGGTGTAATATTCCTATGTAAAATACAAATTAATAGCGTTTTTAAGTAATATAGCGAGTTGCCGATGCTTTGAATGGGAATTTCAACACTCCAAAGGATTGGAATTAAAGGGATCGTAACTGATGAAGAGTTCGAGAAAACAATATAAACTGATCTCAGACACACCCTAAAACTCATATTTGACAAATGATGATGACGTAACGGTGAACGATGGCTGAACAGTCTTTACTTACAGTAACCAGTAACATCTATGTAAATGTTTTTAGTGCTTTGGCAATAGCGGAGATGTCCTCAACTCTTGGAGATATGTCTCGGGACGATTTTGATGGAGAAGCCAGTCTATCAGGTTCAATGCTCAGTTTGGCACATTCGAACAGTTCTACAAGCTTTCCACCTAATTCAGTGTAGTAGTTAGTCACTAATAATACAAATTAGCACAGGTGTTATGCGAAAACTGTAGCCAATTTGGTAATATCTAAATATCTAAGCACGTACTCGACCCGCTGTTATTAAACCTATTTGTTATACCGTGTGTTGCATCGTCGACCTGAACATAGGAAATCTCATGTAAATTATAAAAAGGGACGAACAAGTTTTCCCAATTTTATTTTACAGAAAAATTGATTTGAAACTTTTTAAAGTTCTCTTTATAACGAAGCAAATTGTTCATTTTGAATAATTTATACAAATTCGTTTTTGAGTTATGGAAGATACAAAAATACTAAATTAGGCGAACATTTAAAATATTCCCGACTTGGTTAAACAAACATAACAATCACAAATTATTTCACAATATGACAAATCTATTTTGATTTACTTCTACAGAGATCTGTCAAAAATATTAAGTTATATTTTATTTAAGGCCGGATTATTTTTCCAAATATAATTTAGTATTTTTTCTCTTTCATAACTCCAAAAAGGATTCTTAGAAGTTATTAAAATGAACAATTTGCTCCATTTTAAAAAATTCTTTAAAAAGTTTCAAATAAATTTTTCTGTAAAATAAAGTTGGGAAAACTTATTCATCATTTTTAAAATTTACATGGGGTTTCCTGTATTCAGGTTGGCAATGCAACAGACTGTAAACCTAATGGTTATAGCCAAATGCTGGTTCGGATTTCTTTTTTATGCTTGTTTTATTCTTTAAATGATACATGTTTCTGGTATTTATAATTATTTTAAAGTACCTGATTCTTACTTTATTACAATATGAATTTATTTTATCTATTAATTCAAATATTATATTGTTACAAGATTTATTCTAATATAGGTAAAATTTTTAAAATATATTTTTTCATTTTACAAATATACATTTCTATATTTTTACATTAATTAATAAAGGCTATTAATGGGCATTGAGAATTTACTACTATTTATTATTAAATAAAAACACATTGTTATATATTAGAATATGAGAAGAATTTTATAATTCTTTAAATATATTAATTTTAAAGATTTAGTCCTTAAAGAAGGTGCCAAAGTTTAACTTTTTTTGTCTTTTTAAAATTAGTTTATAAGCAATCAAGTTATTTTCATATTTGTAAATATTTTAGTATTCATGAACATCAATATTATTTTAATTTTGAGCGAGTTTGTTTCAATGGTACATTTTCAAGTTGCTATAACCATTAGGTGTGCATTTTTTAGAGGTTAATGATATAAACCTTGTAAATATATTCTTAGTCTAAATAATTACCGAATCTAACAGAGGTTTTAACAGTGAAACTCCTTTAATGTCTCGGAAAGTCGCTTAATTTAAGACATTATGAACAACTGTATAGTCAAATATTGAAAGGATTTGTATAATTCTATATTAGAAACCCACATTTCTGTGATACATTTTTGCAATTTCAGTGTTAAAACTATATTAAATAATTTATTATTTTTTAAATAGTTTTTCTTAATCTTTTTTATTTCCATTACTATTATTATTAATATGCCATTAAGATTTTTTACCTTGTATAATAGTAATTTAGTTGAAATATCTTCCTGTAAATTTGTGTATTTTTTAATACCGGCAAAATATAGATTTATTCTTTATTTTAAGTGATTCTAATTATATTGTACTAAATTACAGATGTTAGTAAAGACTAACTATACCAAAAAATTTTGGTATATACGCTTAATAATAATCTAAAGTACCCAATCGGCTTTGAAGTACTGTATAAAAGAAAATGTAAAGACGCTTTTGTAAACTTTTTTTGATAGACGTGTAGATTATTTATTTACAGTTTTCATGGCTTGGCAAGGAACATTAAACTAAACAGCTCAGATAGTGAATAGACTTAGAAAAAGAAATGGTCACGTTGTGGTAGTTTATTTATAATTGAAACATTACATCAAAAATAATCTAATCATTTACTAACTGTAAGTTATTTTAAAAAATCTCTACTATTTACACTTCAATTATAAATGTGTGAAAGTAATTATTCTGTTCAAGTGAGAAGAGAAGATTTCAACAGAATACATCCAAAAAATGACAGAAAATACAATCTACTTGAATTAAAATTATAGACAACTGTTACTGTCATATATTCCACAGAACATACTTAATTATTTCATTGAAGAGATTCCCATAATAAAATTTGTGTGTTTTGTCATTGCTTGAAATATTTTATATATTGTATCTAATATGATATTAATTATGTTCTACTGATAATGTTGCGAAGCCATGTAATTAGTCAGTTATATGTGAAGTTGATTAATTTGCATTAATGATAATGGATGGAAAATTTACAGTTTGAATATTTATGGTTAACTATGATAACACTTTCCTTAAATATTCATAAAATATATAAATAAACTACCATTAACTTGTAAAAAATAATTGTTAAAATCAAAATTTTCTTTATTATATGATGTACATAATATATTGTTAATTTAACAAACATTCAATCTCTTTTAGTATGTTTGTAATTGTTTAATTTTTTTTTTGTTAAATATAAAAGAAAGCTGCTCAAAATTTAAAAATATGACTGAGAGGAAATGAACACCTATTTTATTTTCTAAGTGAATATGAATAAAATCATTTGAATTTTTTTTATAATTTAATAAAATAGTTTATTTTCCGAAAATATCAAAGCGAAATATCAACTTATAACAAAAATAAACCAATAATTTAATAGCATTATTATTTTTTATATAAAAACCAGTTAAAAAAACTAAGGCTGCAAACTTTTTTTAACATACCTAATAAGTAATAGGTAATCTAATAAAATAGTAAAGAATCCATAAAACTACAAGGTACATTTTTATATGTTTTGGACATGATATATTGTGACATATAGATTGGGTCCCCTGTGGTCTAGATTTTAACGTGTAAAACCGTAATTAAAAAAAAGCATAAAGACAGCGCAATAAAAATCAAATTTATAAAAAAGTTGGGTCGATACATTTCTTCTATGCCCTATTGCCGGATTATGTAACAAAAGTTCAACCTGCCCTAATAGGCGTTTACGAAAAATGCCTACACAGATACGAACCGGCAACACTGTATGCCGCTTTTTATTGTGTCTGTCAACTGATCATGTACAAGTCTGGTCATCGACACTGCGTGGTCTGGATTTTAATGTGTAAGACAGTGATTTCGTTAGCTTAATGGAAAATCAAATGTATCAGTGCTGCATACTTATCTCTTTTAAGTTTTCATGAACAACATCCTTGCATCTTTTGAGTTGTCCACCCGGTTTCCTCTTACCCTCTACAAGTTCACCGTAAAGAAGATTTCGGTAGGCGGTTTTCTTGCATCCTGCATATGTGGCCAGCCCATCTTAAGCGAGATTTAGTACTCATGACTTCAGCGCTGTCGCAGCTTGCTTTTTTAAGGACTGATACGTTTGAGACATGGTGGTACCATTTGGTTCTTAAGATACTTAGCTACTTTGATAAATAAGATAGATAATAGTACCATGGAGTACATCATAGGATTTTATTTTATTTTATTTATTTACGCAAACTTAAACATTCGTAAGTATATAGACAATTAAATTTACAAAGAAAAACAGATTCTCTTATTCATATACATATATATTTCGAGACTAATAAAAAAAGAAAAGAATAATTATGTTTTATATATTAAATTGATGAGTGAGGACCTCTTAATAAAGGAAAGTTATTTATTATTATATCATTAAAATCTGGGCTGTGAAAATATCTATTTAGAATGAAAGTAAGGCAAGTGACGATAAACGTTTATTTTTTATGGAATTTCTACTGTAAATTTTAATACATTTCAAACATGAAAAATGTCTCTCAACCCAAGTACTTGTAAATGGTGTAGTAATAACAATCAAAACAAACCATTTGCAACTCTGGAAATGTATTTCCAGGATCGTTCTCCTTAAATTATTTTATAATCGAAAATTATCATATCTATTATTAATACCTGCAATTTATTCATTAATTTATGTTGGTCCAAAAGACTGCGTTGTTGCATAAAAATTTTAAATCAGATATTAAATGCTTTGGAATTTTTTTATAGGATTCTGTAAATTTCTCTGAAACAGCAATATATAAATAAAAATAATTGAGACATTTCTGAAAACTTTATTTCTAAATGTATAAATGTTATCTAATATTTCATAAAATACAATAAAATTCGCAAAGAAGTTTTTTGACTTCCCCCCTTTTATTAACATATCGAATTGAAATAGCACGCTGAGACATACCGTCTGCTTGGACGAAATAAAACAACGCGCCTTTTATTTCGGATTCTATTAGTTCTGTGGCGTGTTCTGAAATACAACCGGTTATAATCATTTTGAATAGTCTTGAACAAGCCCTAAAAATGTTTCTTATTTGCTGTAAATGTTTTTGGAATCTCCATATAAAAGTTTTAAATACTACGTATAATGAATCATATGAAATATCGAGACGAAATATCAACTTCCGCGACTTCATACAAATTGAAAAGGCGACCGGAGATTTCGCCTAAGCTCCGCCTTAATTTCTGTTAATATTTAACATACATACATATATAAATTCTTTGTTTCTGTTAATACGATACAACTCACACTTACGTCGCTACCGCACGATGAGCTAGACAGGGACAGAAGCATACAGAAGACTGCCGTACGTCGTGCATCGACTCTGATAACAGGCGATAGAAATCGCCGCCAAACAAGTGCGTGTGCAATATGCACACGGTCAAAATTATTTTGTTTTCGTACAAGCGGGAGTGATTATTTTAATATACAAGACCACAGATATTAAATTAATATTGCTTATTACAACACACTACCGTGTATTAACAGTATTTTTGTGTATTGGCAACATTAATAGTAAATAATACATACAATAAACCCCTTAAATTCTGACAAAATTGTAGGGTAGGCGCCGCCTAACCTTCCTACCCTGACGAGCCGCCACTGAAATGTATTAAAAAGAGAAAAATTGGGTTGATACATTTCTTCTATGCGGTATTGCCGGATTTCGTATCCAAATTTCAAACCTGATCAAATGATCAGGTTTGAAATCAAAATGATGCATCTAGAAATGGAACTTTATATTTTACTATCATTTACTCATTTTACTACAGCTGTAGTATATTATATTTAGCTTAGATAATATTATCTTCATTTCAGTAGTGTACATGAAAGTTTTAAAAATAGTTTTTTTTTCTGCACACATTTTCCTACAAACGTAATAACCGGCAACACTGTATGCCGCTTTTTATTTTGTCTCTCTGTCTGTCAACCGGTCGTTTACATTTATCTCTGTCGCATGTATTAAAATACAGACCACGCAGATGAAGTGACCAGGGCTAGTATCTGGTATGGCATTAAAATACAAACCATGGAAATAACGTGACCAATATAGTATAGTATATATATCCAACTTATAAATCAGTTATTTTTTATTTGGAACTCTGCAATACAAAGTCATTGAATATTCTCATTATTTTATTATACAATTGTACAAATTAATATTTCAATTTTCTTTGTTATTGCCATTAAAATATTTTTTAATTAAATGCCATATATTTTAGAAACATTATCTTTAAATGAAAATGCTATAAGAGCTCAACACCGTATATAAATGAAGAAAAGTCATAATGGTAACTCTTGAAAGAGGAGGTATAATGCGCTATTTTTGTCTTAAGTTTAATTGAAGACCACAAGTAAAACATAAGTGCCAAAAAAATTGTGTTTTTATCTAAAAGTATGCTAACCGATTTAAATAATAATTTGGTATTGTTTGAAAAAAAATCAAGAGCATCAGCGATGGCTATGAAATGAAGATCGCTGTCATTTTGTATATAAAATTGTGTGGGGAATGTCAACGATCGTCATTTTCAAGCCAACTGGATGCCATTTTTTTTCGATCATACGATATATCAATTGGGCTAAGTGCTAAACCTAAACCTCGACAAATGAAATTAGCGCATCTGTTATATACCCCCAACTCTGTTTTGTTATTTACTTAGCCTGTTTCTTACTTATGGTTTTCAATTATTAAATTTACAAGTAATATAATATAATATGTTTCCAGATATTAAAAATACAAATGTCTTTAGCGCGACGGCTATACAGATTGTTAACTGGACGGTTACTTATTGGGGAACAGAATGGCAAAATTGCCTACATTTCAAATGAGTACTAAGCTAAGCTGCCGACTCGTTCCGTCGCGTCGTCTCTCAACGAGCGGGCCGATGTTGCCATATTTCAACCATAAAGCTCTTGCCGCGAAAAATAAACAAATTAACAACATGTATACATTACCTTTATTTGAAATCTCGATCTCTAAAAAACGTGACAAAAGAGTTTAAAAAAATAATTTAAAGTGTTTTTCTGGAACTAAAAATTGGTGTCGGAAAATATTTTCAATGGATTTAATGTTTTAATTAATTTTAAAAATGTTTATATTAATATCATGATAGTAAATTCTAACTTGCGCTGAACAATTTTCATGATAATTGTGCAAAGTTTCAAAAGATATATGCTTTTAAGGACATTAATCTTATAATAGTAATATATTTAGTATCTGGAATAAAGCTACTAAAATCAATAAACAATTATAACAGAACCACTAATTATTCTATTACAATACAATTAATTACAATAACAAAATATGTTAAAAATATACTATCAATATAATTTCTCTTCAAATGTATTTGTTCATAATCACCCTAGATGTGCAGCAGTATTTTGTTAGATAATTAAAAAAATTGTTATACATTTTATTTAAGCATGACACTTAAAAAATATTGTCACTTTTAAGATATAGTCATATACACATATTTTTATTTTATATAATTACAC